TCACGACAATTCCAAAGACAGAATCCATCACTGGGGAGAAAAACGTGGAGCTGAGTGGGAGGGCGAGAATTCCGAAGATGCAACGAGAGCACAGAAACCTATTTGGAAACGCCGTCTGCTCTGTAGACACATTTTGAAGCTTGTCTCTCTCAGCACAATGCTGCAAAGAAGTTCGAAACAAAAAGTTGAAGTGTTTCTCATATTGTCCTCTTCCAAGTGGTGGTATTTTCACTTCTCGACAGTCAAAGAAACCGCCGAAAACGTCATTTTTGTGGAAACGAAGAGTGTCAGCCATTTTTTTCCCAACTACGTGACCACTTTCAAATGCTCGCGCGATATCAAAGAAAGCAGCCGACAGCTAGTGATTTGGCTAGATTTAAGAACTATACGAAACTTTCGGACATTGCAATTTTTTTTCTTCCACACGTCGATTTTTTGGTAATGTTACTTGAAATTAAATACATGTCTTTTCGACAATATTTCAGCTCAAATTAATCACATTATTTGCCTCATGAGTAGAAAATTTGGTTACTTTTGACGAAATTAGTGTCATATTTTCAGCAAAACAGCGTTTTTTTATTTGACGAGTTTTTTTTTATTTGACGATGTTTTTTTTATTTGACGAGGACAGATATAGAGATCATCATGACCCGGTGAGTTGGCCGTGAATGCCGGAGATAAGGGCTGCTATTGGTTTGAAATAGAACAATAACAATTTTGATTGGCAGGTGGGGAACTTCAAAAATGTCGACTCCTTAAAAATTGTTCCATTTACTTTGACCTTATTGCGCATGTCTTCCTACAACAAATAAGAAAAGTATAGATTCCATGAACTGACTATACGATATAATAGTCATTTTTGTTTTTCGACTTTCGACCAAAAAAACACTCGTTTATTTAACAGCAGGACTCGTGGAAGGGGCGGGGACATGAGGATGCAAAACAGATTTGCAGGGGGGGGGGGGTTAGCTTTTTTTAGACATGCAGGGCCTGTGGCTTTCAATTCAAAATTGTTGGGCTTTTTTTCACTCCATTTTTTTTGAGAGAGGGTTATCAGTCATATTACCAATTGTTCTGCCTAAGGGCAGGGGATTGTTTTTTTCATTATAGCTAATATAGGCTACAACATTTGCAAACATCAAAAAACAAAACCACAAAATAATTAACTTGATTGTAAGTAAATAATAGTCTCAAGCATCCTGTGAAATCATGACACCTAGTGTGCTGTCATTTTCAAGAAAAGTGGAATTTTTGTATCAGTTTTCAATGATGGTCGGCCGACCATCGGAAACAAAACGCCTTTTTTTTTTCAAATACTCAGTACTCAGCGGCCCCCACTTTTCCAAATTTAGTTACATGTAGTCTACATTTTGTTGGCAATCTGTTACACATCCCTGTATCCGTATACCAACCTCCAAAATTGATACTTTTTCTAAAAAATAACAGTGAAAGCAAATTTTGTATAGACCTATATTACCTTTAACAAAATAATGTATCCATGCACGGAACAATACATCAATATAAAATTAAAATGAAATAAAATATTAAACTGGGGGCTTATCAAATTCAAGGACTTTAACCCCAAAAATCATATTGAAATTATAGGATTTAGGTCTGTTAGGGTTAGGGATCCCATCTCAACCTCCCCCCCCCCCGCCTCCCAAATCCGCTTCCCAAATCCCCCCCCCCCCCGCCCCCAATGAAGTTGGGGGGACAAAAAATGAAGTTGATGTTTCTTTACCTCAAAATGTGAATAATTAGACAATGAAAGACAAAAAAGAGAGAGCAATTGCTCAAGAGAAACAGAATCTCACGAAACAATTTTGCAATGGAGAAGATTTGGATTCACAGGTGCAGGTAAGTTATGAGTTCTAACAGCTGTACCCTCTGAATTTAACCGTTAATGAATATGGTAAGTTATAGTAATTCAAATAAATATGACAAACACTTGGTTTGTGTCTTTTATTACCTGTGACTGCATGCAACCTCAAACTTCAAACTTTATTATTTCTTTTAAAAATAAATACATGATTGCTTGATTGAAGACTACAATTTAGAAAATACAGAACAATTCTTCTTTAAAACGTACTTGCGTAAAAGGAACTTTGTTGTGAAATAAACAGATAAAATTGAAAAATCCCGCAAGATGAGCAAATCTGAATTTGTGAGTCTTGTTTTGCTGGGTAGTTTCCCCGCTCTGCCAAAATACAACACTTCCCTGTGAAGCAATGACATGTATTTTTACCGTAAAGATTGAAGTAGCAAATACAGTAACATTTTTTTGCTGGGACATTCTTCCTACTGTAAAACGAGGTGTGGGGTTTTGAAGGATTTCAGGCATTTTGCTGGGACATTTTCCTACTGTTAAACGAGGTGTGGGGTTTTGAAGGATTTCAGGCCGCTGTGGTAGATAAAAATAAACTGAACTGACCCCAGGCTAACGAGTACATACGTGTACATTTCGTGCTCTGCTAGAAGTATAGAACATTACTGGAGCGTACACTAATGGTAATGAACTCGTCCTATCTATGAGGAATTTTGGAAAGCTAGATTTCGTCTCCAGCTTTGGCTTAAATTCTGGCTGTAGATGTGGATGACGATCCCAAAGTATGGGACGGGAAATCTGCCTAAGTCAAACCCGGGACGAAACCTAGGTTTTGAAAACTCCAGTAATTGCAGATTGACTGGTGACAAAATGTCTATGCCGCTGATGATCAGAAAATATTACATGGTGCTGGTACCCGTGCACAGTCTGGCAATATACCTTCACTGGTTCCTGGTATTCCTTTAACCAGGCATGCAACTTGGAAGTCATCACAAAAGAGAGGAATTTACAAGATATCCGTTAAAAGTTTTGTCTTAGTGAGTCATGGGCTGTTTTCCAAACCCCTTGGACTTGTCAAACGTGGTTACAAATTAAGTTAATGAGATGTATAGAAACATGTTCATAGAAATTACTGAAACATAATCTCAATTTTGCTAAAACTGTCTGAAGACAATCATCAGCCATCCTGGAAGTAATGTTATCGTAAAGTACATGATTAGTTTTGTTCTTGAAATCATATAAATTGTATACAAGCTGCACAAAAACAGAATGCAAAACCTCCTTTCCTACTTCACACAATTAGGATTCGTTTCTTCAGATTACGGAAGCTGACCTCAATAAAAGTGTACAGCACCTTCCAAATTCAACCGTGTACTACACACTGCAAAAACTGCAGTGTTAAATTTACACTCTTGGTATCTATATATATAGGACCATCTGGTGTTAATTTTACTGGTGTTGTCCTATTTACATGTAGATACCGAATGGTGTTAAATTAACACTACAGTTTTTGCAGTGCAGTACTTTCTAAAATCACTTATCACCTTTGAACATCATAAATGAATTCATAATATCAAAAAGACTAGTCCTATTCAATAATTTCATTATCTGCGTACACCTCTTACAGCATTATGTACAGAGCAATTTAAGACTACATCAATACATTAACAAGCAATTTGATGGAGGGAGCTAAAGATCATTTTTACCAAATAATATATTTGTCATAATTATACCTTTTATCTTTACTCTTTTTTTGCCAAAATTATACTTTTTGTCTAATGACCCTTGACCTACATGTACGGGTACAATACACACAATGCATGTACAAGAAGTCTATCCGATTTATGGTTAATCCTACAAATTTAGGGTCCGAGGTGTGATTGAGGGTCAAATTTGATTCCTGTCCCTGTTACCTTGGTACTTTGTAATTTGTCATTCAAGTATCATCAAGAATGACTTCAACCAATTTTGTGTTTGTTGAGTAGGTAGTTCGCTATTCATAATCACTCTTGAAGAACGACTGCATTAAAAAAAGGAGTGCTTCCAGAATTAAAACAAATAATAGATGTCAGAAGTAACAGGGACACACAGGAGCAAAAGTGGACACCAAATTTATAGAATGACCCAAAAATTAAGTGCTGTATACACTGTACATGTACTTTCTTTTCCACTGATGAACACACACTTCACTGACGAAAATATTTCTAGTGCTAAGCAAATGTACAAAATTCAGCAAAGATAACTTATATTACCTAAGTAAAAGCAAATGACATTCTTGGCTTGTTCTACAATTTATATGCTGATGCTTAGCAAAAGTATCTTTCATTTAGCAAATTTACAAATATATGTGCTTTCCATAAACTACAGCAATTATAACAATTATTGCACCTATAATCATGAACTGATTATATGTATATATTGTTTTTCTGATTGAAAACAAACAGACAAAAAAATGTTGGATAGATAAATCTTATACTTAATGAATATACCATCTTCTGAAGTCTCTTAAAAATTAATATACAGGAAAACTAACAAAAAATGTTTTAGGAACACATTTTCTGCAATATAAAGTTATGTGTAATTTTGTATAACACAGTTTTTGAATAAACAACATCTACATTAAATATAAAAAGGTACATGTATAAAAAAAAATTGGCCAAAAAAAATGCTTGGGAATTATCATCTAAAATTTAATTTCAAAAATATTAAAATACTTTTTAAAAGAAATCATGCACTGTAGCTTGTGACATGCAATAATTCGCAAATTGTTTTATATTGTCAAAAGTGCATACAACTTATTTTAAATTACACCAAATGCAACTTTAAAATCAAGTATTACTGTGCTTGGATATACATGTACAGGGTGACCCAAAATATAAAATGACTACTTAAAATAAAAAAAATTAAGTGGCATTTTCTCAGCAACCCAAAGTGCCATTTTCATGATTTTTTTTCAGTATTTGAAAGAAAAAGCTCTCAGCTTTAATCTGATACCCAAAACATAAGAATCCACAGAGGCAAATGTTTTAGGATTGCATTTTTTTTTTCACCTTGTACAGTGTCTACTTTATGAAACCATTAAATTAATTGAAATAAATTGAAAGTGACACACCTAGTCTTAAACAACTAAACACTTGCCAAAAGACTCTAAATGAACCAAAAAAGTTTTTTTTACGATACATGCATTTCAGTTTTAAAGTAAAAGATGAAACTCTTAAAGTATCCAAATTTGAGAAATGTTAGCCGAATTCTTGAAAATATGCTCTTTTCAATTTTCCAATTTAACTTTTTTGTTCTCATCATTCATGCATAAATAGGGAAAAAATATCCATGAATAAACCAACAATATATACACACGGTGAAGGTTCGTTAAACTTTTGTTCCACTGATTAAGTTAAGGTGTTATACACCATTGTCAATCTAACAAAGACTGCCAAACATCATTTTAAGACAGAAAGAAAAAAGAAGAGGAAAACAAATTTGTTCTAATACTAGCCTGTGCCATGAGTAACACTTCACACAATGTTTGAACTTGTAAATGAACCATGAAATTGAAACTGATTCTGCAAGCTATTCATCCCGCTACCTCAGCACTCAGTGTTTCCAATACACTTAGAGCGATAGCAACAGGCAAAATTAGACCCCATTGCATATTAATGAAGGTCAGTTCTTTACAGAGTTGACATTTTTCAACTGACCTGAAGTTATTCCAAAGTTGCCTCCCAAAAAGGAGAATTTGTAATGTTCCAAATTTTTTTATAGACTTTCTTAAGGTCTTCTTAGGAACCAGTTAGTATGATCCTCGATGTCATGTCTTCTTAGTTCCTCTCTTAGCATGTACCTCTCCTTGATCCACTCATACATGTCCCAGACGGTTACCCCCGTACGCCCATTGATGCGCCCCTGTACCCAATGCAGATACCAGTTTGGGGTATCCTTGTGCTTTTCGTCGCCCATCCAGTGGTGGGATTTTCGCTGCTCTGCCCTGACCTCGGCTCGTCGGAGGTACCAGTCGTTTTCATCACCGCTGCTCTGGAAACCCCTCCCTGCATACTTTCGCTTCTCTGTGTTCTCTGTGGGATGATGGGATCGTGTGTCGGAGCTCGAATCTTGCTTCTGAGGAAGGGTTTTGAGATCGATGACGACTGTTGAGTTTTCAACTTCATCGGGTTCATTTATGATAGCTCTACCTCCCTGCCGTTGTGTATCTTGATCTTTATCGCTCTGGTATGCTTTGTGATCTCGATATTTTCCCTGTTTCTGTTGCCGCTTCAGGGCTCCCTCTTCCATGTCTTGCACCATCTCACCAAACTCATCCTTCAGCTCATCCAGGTCTTTGTCATCAGAGTCTGTCTCGCTGAGGAACTCGCCCAATTCTTCCAGGAACTCCTTGAGCTCTCGCACATCCTTCCTGAGATTGCGTTCCTTCAGCCACACTTGGTAGTCGAGGAGCTCAGAGTACAACCTGGCAGCATCTCGACGCTGACTGTGCATGCACTTCTCATTCCCTTTGCAATGCATGTCGATGCAGTCAAACAGCTCCTCCCAATTGGATACGGTATCACTCTCCCCATCTTCACTGGACCCCAAGCCATCTCGTTGTGGTGGACACCCATGTTTAATGGAAGTCATCTTTTCATCCTTAAGAACCTCTTGTTCACTTCTATAAGCTCTCTGTTGGTTTCTTACATCATCAGTGGACCACATCTGTTGTCTTGAAGGCACAGATTTCGGCTGGGTTTGCTTCTTCTCAGGTATGTTTGGTCTGCTATTCTCAGATTTTGGTTGGTCCTGGGTTCCTGCATCATGGGAAACCTTCATCTGTTGTCTTGATGGCACAGAGTTCTGCTGGTACTTCTGGAGTGAAGGTTCCCGTTTCAAATCTGTCGCATCCTGTTTCTGGTCTCCATCTTCGACCGACTCAGCTTTCCCATGAGAAGGTCGATCCCAATGTGGTCTTGATGGGGCTGAATTCAGATAATCCTGGTCTCGTTCCGAAGGCAGATCACTAGTTGAGTGGATGTTCTCTGTGTCAGATTCATCGTATTGTTGGTGTCGATGATGCCACCTTGAGGGCACAGAAAACTGCTTTTGATGATATGTTTTTCCTCTTTTGCCTGGATTGATGATGTGGTCTTTTGAAGATCGGTGTCTTTTATCATTTGTATGCCTTTGATGGTTTCTTTGATGTTTATTATGCTGTTTATGGGTATCCTTCTTGTCAGACCTTCCTGATGAATAATCTTTTTTGTCCTTGTGTTTTTCATGCCTCTTACGATCTTTAGGCTTTTTGTTTTTCTTCTTATTGCCTCTTTCAGCTTGACGATGCCTCTCTGAATGATCGTGATGGTGTTTCTTTTTTCCATGGTGGCCTTTCCTACTGTGCAACCCCTTTATCTTTTCCTTCACAGACTTGATCGTTGTTCCAACTTTTTCACCGAGTTTCGTAGCACCATCCTTCAGTTTCCCTGCAAGGTTGGACTCGGAGATGTCCTCCATCACTTGGGCAGAGGTGTTCTTGACTTTGCCCCAGGCCGCCTTGACTTGCTCCCGGAGTCCAGAGATAGACAGGTTTTGCTTCGAGGTAAAATTGGAGGAATAATTGCGGACAGTATCCCACGCCCCTCTTAGCTTCTCGCCAAAACCGCCTTGAATTTTTTCATTTGGTTCCGTTTCTGGGTCGTCAACTGATTCACTCTGTGGTGATGTCTTCATTGATTCTGATGTTTTGTTCAATATCGTTTCCGTTACTATCGATGAATAGTTTTTCACAGTCCCCCAGGCCTGTTCCGCCATATTTGTGACACGAGACATGGACAGATTTTGTTCAGCGATAAACTCAGAGGAGATGTTCTCAACAGAATGCAGAGTGTCGACAAGCTGTTCACTAAACATAGACAAGACCTTCTGGTTATAATCTACGACATCAGAGGTTACATTCTTGAGTTTCATCCAAGCATTACCGGCTTTCTCACCCATATTCTCAGCAGTGATGTTGTTTTCCTTTACCAACTTTGCAGACTGATTCTTCAGATACCCAGTCACTGATTCTACCTCCTTGCCCAAGTGCTTCGCCAACAATTTGGTGTTGTTCAGGATCGCTTGTACTTGCTCAGAATCAGGCAAGGCCTTAAGAGAATCTAGTTCCCTGATGAAGGCTTCGGACAACAAAACCGATTGTACTTGCGTCTGATTGAGATAATGCAGGATGGCTTTTCCATGATCTGTTCCCAGCCAATCGGACCACAAACTCTGAAGAGTTCCTCCAATTCCAGCCACAGGGTCATCATCTTTTTCTGTACTGTCTTGATCACCTTGATCTTTACCGGAAGACTCCTTGTCCTTCTTCTGGCTCTCAGCTTCTCCAGAGCTCTCTTCTTTCTTGGACTCCTCAAACATCTCCTGCCAATGCTGAGCTGTTTGCATCAGCTCTTCCATCTTTTCTTCCAACGACTCGATCTTCTCATCGTAATATTCAAAAGATTTTGGCCGTTTTTCAGGGCCATATTCTATGGAATCGTCTCCCACAAACTGTTGATCGACATCTTTAACTTGAAGCTGCAGGTCTTCCATCTTTTTACCCTCACTTGAAGTATCATCTGGAGTCTCCTTCGCAGCTTCTTTCAGATCTTCTACCCTTCCAGCGACATCCATATCCAGTACCAATTTCTTTGATTCAACTGAGACCACAGGGGCATCTACCAAAATCTTGAATTCTTCATCAGAGCTCATGACGTGGTGGTCAGGCGAGAGCTTATCTAACATGGCTTGCTCATTAAAACCCAACAAAGCTTTGTCATCTGCTCTGTGGAAGTTTTCTGGCTCTGTTACATCTAAGGAGTCATTACTATCCTCCAAGTTGTCATCAGTTGAATGAATGCGAGAGCTCGGCTGAGTTTCCATCGCATTCTTGTAGGCTGATTTCTCATCACTGCTTACTCCAGAGCCGCTTAGAGCCTCCTCCCCACTTTCCGTTCTCTCAGTCGGATGCAAGTCACTGTCCGCGGCCACCTTTACAACCTTGTCACCTACCTGTTGTTCTAAGAGATGGCTTGTATCAAGACCTTCCTCCTTCATCTTAGAGTTAAGTCCTTCCAGCAGCTTGACAGCCTGGAGTGCCGGGGAGGATTTCTCCGTGGTGATTCTGCTGTCGATGCCGGAGCTACGATCCAGACAGGTTACAAGGTCATCTTGAAGCTCTCGGAGACGCTGTACCTGGCCAGTGTTGATGGAGTGTTGATGTGCCATCTCCTGAGTGGAGCCTGCAAACATTCAGATATAAAGAAAAGATAAATGCAAACACTTAGGTTAACTTCTCCAAACAAATGTGTTCTCTGAGCCAGCCATCTTTGATGGTGAAATAAGTTACACACTTGGACTTACATCTCCTGATGACAATGCTTACTGTTTCTTGGTCGACAAGTTCATTTTTTGTTTTACATTCAACTGTCAGTCTATTGTTTCAATCCGCTGCTTGATAACCTTATTGTTAACTGTCTTTGTCTTTCTATTTATTATTCGTAAGTTTTATTATGATTGCTATTCACCCAAAAAAAATGTACCTTAAAAAGTATTAAAAATATTTTGTCAAACATCCTGTAGTTTGTTGCGTTGCATGACCAAAAATTATTATAGGCGATGATGTTTCCAGTTAATCCATTTCATTAGAACTGTATCCTGTGAGAATTAAGAGGCCTATCGGTAATACTTTATCACCACCACAGATATCGTACTGCGTTTTCAACAGATGGGAACTGGCTGCTGTGATATCCAGTGAACTTTATCAGTTCTTGTCAATGTACATATGAAACAAAATCCATAAAAACAAGAATTCCATGCAATGTTACAGATACGATTTGAAATCTTCAGGTAAAAATGTAAAAAAAAATTAGTGTTTTGCTGTCACAAACCCTAATGATTTGATTTGAACCAACTACCAAGTTCTGACAAGATTGGGGGTAGGGTGGCGAGAGGCCCTTCATACTTCATGCAACTTCCGGTGCTATTGCAATGAAACCATAATTTATGAATAGTTTAATTGCGGTACAAATTCAAGATTCGATTCGAACCAGCCAAGCAATCCTGCAAGCTCGGTGGTCGAGTGGTAAGACGTCTGCACTAGAAAGCAGGAGGACGTGGGTTCAAGTCCCTACCAAGTGATTTGTTTTTAAACCATAATTGTTGCACCATGAAATTTGCCTCGTTTTTGCTCTTGTGTGAAGTATGAAATAGCTTTAAGATATCTGCTCTTGGAAGCAGGAGGTTATGGGTTCAAGTCCCAAGCAAGTGAATGTTTTCAAACAGTCCTGTGAAAAATGTACTTATTAATTATATTGACCATGGGCAACAAACCCATATTAAAACTAAAGTACCTATCAACAAGAAAACAGAATGGTCAGAAACTGTCCTACCGATGAAATGACCAATGCCGAGAGCTAATCCCGCCAGTAGCACCATGGCAACCAGCCAGTCCAGCCTCGTGTTCAGTCCTTCGTCCCTCCGATGTCTGTACTGCCGCACTCCAGACTTCTGGCTCTGGATCATCATGTTGGCCGGGAGACAATCCTCCGAGATGTCGGTGAAGTTGGATACGCTGTCCAAAGTGTCGTCAAAGTCGCTGTGACGCTGGCTGACAGAGCGAGACAATGGTGGTCCTGACAACAAAATTGGTTATAAAAAGCAGGGTTGTTTTTTTACAAAAGGGCAATTCCGTAAAATCCAACGTACATGTACGTCCAACCACATGATGTACGGTACATGTACATGTACAAGGTCGTTAAGGTGGTGGTGTACATTAGTTTGGTCTGTAAATTGTTTTCTACTCATTAGATGTCACTGTATAAGTGATGTATCACATTCACTTTTCCAACAGCAGCTCATTAAAGTGTCTGACATGTACGTCCGAATTTACAGAATTGCCCAATACCAATGTATTTCACACACAATTTTTTAATTAAGTATAAATCAAGTCCTTTATGCATTCATCAATTGTTCCCCCGGACTTATGTCAGGGTTTGTTCATGTTTTTCAGGGCCCAGGGTGGGGATTTTGGTCACTCACATGGCGCACTACATGGACAGGCAACCAGTGATTGGGTGCCCAACCCATGAGGGTTGGAGACACTTCCAGTTTGTCGGGGGGGGGGGGGATAATTGATGGGTTTATTAGGGGGGGGGGGGGGGACAATTGACGGGTTTATTATATCGAGACCATTAACCCAACACACATTTTTTGGGTCAGTCTCTGAAGTGTTAGTTTCAATTCCACATAATCATTGGAATTCTACTCCATACATTGATCTTAGTTAGAAATTTCTCCCTAAACCTAAAAAAAAATATATACATATTTTTGTCCAAGAAACACAAAGCAAGGTTCCTTGGGCATGTTTTGGTGGTCGCAAGCAAAAGCCGGTTCAATTGTTTCCCATTGGTTTAGCATTTCAGCAACTTGCGTAGTGCAGTAATTTGCTTGTTATTACTTCACAACCAAGTTTCTAAAACTATCAACCAATGACAAACTGAACCAATTTTTGGTTACGTTGGTAAAAATACAGCTACCACATAATAATACAAAAAGACGATTTTATAATGTCAACAAATTTGTTGTTGTTGTTGTTGTTTCTTTTGGGGGGTGGGCAAAAAGTTTAAGAATGAGATCCTAAAACTACCACAGACAACTTGACATATTCTTTTGAGTTTCTGGATTTTTTAATTTTAATAAAACAATTTTGTTCAATTTAACATTCAATTTTTTTAATTGAACTTGAAAGTCAACTTAATGTTCTTACCACGCCGCTGTCTGACATTGACAAAGCCCGACAGATCAGAGCTACTGGATGAAACCGTCGACACCTCATCATCGTCCCGAACTCTTGGTCTCCGTATAAGCTCGAAACCCTCATCACTTGAGCTGTTACTACGCTGATGGGGCAGGCCAAATCTACCGGGCGGCTTGAGTTGGAGGCCGGCTGATGAGTCACCAGAGCTGGCACGATGGCGAAGACCAATCCTACCGGCTGGCAGGTGGTCAAACGGGAAGGGCTGAATGCTGGACGCGGACTGGCCAGACCAGGGATGCATGTGTGAAGCAGGTGATGCAGGCATGTTAGGATTGACGGGAGGTGATGGGACCGACGACTGAAGAAAAGAGTTATGAACATCTTCTGATTCACATGAAGGCATCTCTAGAAAATTCCGAGGTTGATAGGGTGGCCTCAAGAATGACACATCTGAGAGAGGTTCGTCTTCCTGAAATGAAGAAACATTTCAGAGGATATATCAGAATGCTTGCCAGTGTCCTTCATCAACAGTGATTTAGTCCAAACAGTTCATAAAAATATTTGTAAAACATCTAGCGAGGTTGTGGGCTCAAGTACCACAGAGTGTGCTTACAAACTTTTGCACAAGTTTCGGAAAGCACTGAGCATACAGTGCTTATAAACAATGCTTATGAAGGACAAAATTCACATCTCCCCTCAGCAGAAAATTCAATCCACAATTCCACTTAAAACTTGTCTGCAAGAAAACAAGAGAAAGGCAAGACAACTACATGTATGATGTATTTGAAGGTTTCAGTTATCTCAGTATGCTGTATTTTGCTTCAATACTCGTGTGATTCTTTTTCTGATGTCATCATCATCTACTGAACCCTCCTATCACTTGATCAGTCACAGACAGTCAAAAATTCTTCCACTTCTTCTGTCATGCATTTGTATACAGGCTAGCAAAAAACGGTCAGATCACGTTCGTGTAAAAACTGTGACTAGTCAAATTCAATCAACAGACAAAGAGGTAACTACAGCTGGCATATCAATCACCTCCAGTCAAAGCATGGCTATATCAAATTAACCACTCCCTAGGCCTTTTTCCTAGGATGTAGCCTCAATCCTGCAAAATCCTGCAAAATCCTCCAATTTGCCTCATGGAGTACTGTATGTTTAGAAAGCCCCTCCAGACGTTTTCATGCAGTACAAATTTCTGAAGATACTGAAGATGGAAAAATAGCATAATATAGCCTCAATCCTGCAAATTCCTCCATTATTTCTTGAATGTGGTCCTTGGAGGGATGAAGAATGCCTGAATCCTGCAAAATCCCGTGGCAGTGACTGTCAATATGTTGAGGCTTGGCCGGTGACATCCTGGTGCAGTACGGAGGATTTCAAGCATAATCCAGGCCTATATTTATGCATGGCTGAGCAAAAACAACACAAGGTCAGGCCCAAGACCTTGACAAAGTGCATCCTACGAAACCAGTAACGCACTTTTGCCATGTAACCTCAATCCTCCAAATTCCTCCACTTTGGCAAGGAGGATTTTGTAGGATTCAGGGCGGTTAGGGGTCAACAGGGCAATTCTTAACTGAAAAACAGTCACTAGATTGATTTTGACTGATGTGATGGCTCAGCTGAATCTGACAGCCAGAGAGGGAGGGTTTGTGGACTGCAATCCAAAATTAGTATGAAATCGATTAATTAGCTTACCAACTCTTCTGTTGGTCTGGCCCCTGCCACATCCATCTTGCCTTCCTCTGCTGCATCAATAGTCTGGTTTTCCCCCTCATCCACCGCAGGGACCATTTCGGGATCGATACGCTCAAACTCGGACGTGTCTGACCCTTCATTGCCAGAACTCAGCTGGGACTCGTTGACTTGGTGAGGGTTCATTTCTGTTCAGACATAGAGTGTTTCAGGGAAAGGGGGATGTCAAAGTAGATTGTCATTATCAACAATAATTACAAAATTCAAAACTGCATTGGGGCTGTCCCGAATTATACCAAACACTCGGATATTTGATCATTAACCGTACGTCTGAATAGCTTTTTGCCAGTTTGAATATTCCATGAAAAAAAGCTACACATATACACACACGGCCAAGTTATTATTTTATCACAAAGTTGCGGCGCATTTTTGTCAGGTGCCACTTGTTTTGTCGATGGTAACTTCTGTTGATGACGGTTCATCTTGCACATCCTTTTAGCAGATTAAAAGCCCTTTACAGTTATAAAATACTTACTGCATAACAGGGGCCAATTTCACGGCGCTGCTAAGCACAAAAATTTGCTTAGCACAAAAAAAGACTGGCTTATAAAAGCAGGTTACCAGACAAAACTCCATGTGATTTTCATGCTAAGCAAACAACAGCTGAATACTAATTACGAGCAATATACATTACGTGGAGTTTTGGCTGGTAACCTGCTTTTATATTAAGCCAGTCTTTTTTTGTGCTAAGCAAATTTTTGTGCTTAGCAGCGCCGTGAAATTGGCCCCAGCTGCAGGTCAGTGCCCCATATCGATCGCCACACGCAAATTTTAACTGGCATGCTCTTCATGCAACTTTTTGTTGCACAACAACTGGCAGTTTCGAATATCCGAATATTCTGTCAAACGCAGTTTCAGGTAATCGAATACTAAATTACTCGAAAATGGACAGCTCTAAACAGCACTACAAAAATGCCAAAAGATGCTCAATGTTCAATGAAGACTTTACAATCTCTGTGCACAAACTTGCATGTAAGCGTGAACTGCGTAGCCTGGCAACAAGGGTAAAAGACTTTTCATTTTGTTTATAGTTGACACATGCTGTTCAACCATTTAAGTTACAGTATATGCACCAAGGAAAGTGAAGCGAGTTTCAACTTGATGGGGCAGATCCCAAAAACTGTTCAAAAAAATATTGTTCACCTCAAAGTCCGAGTAAATATAGTGGTGAAAGCACTCATAAACTGTTATTACTGATGACTCCATGTGTTCAAATCTAACAGTGATTCTTCACATTTTGGCATTAATTTTGAGTTGCATACAGACCGCTGCTTTGAACCTGCACACTGGATAACATCTCTAAATCAATTTGATATCTGCAGAGTGACAAATCGTACCTGTTTCAGGTGACACGGCTGCCATAGAAAGCAATGCTGGTACTACATCCAGCTTCTGATCGTCCTCAGCTTCTTCCGTCCTTCCTTGAATCATGTCTCCACAACCCCCCATCGTCGCTCCATCTTCAAGAAAATGGCTCTCCTCTGATGGCATGGAGAGAACCTCAATGCTGTCCACTGAGATGTTATCAAGTGCGTCGTAAGACATTTGATCCCCAAGAGCATCTGGCTCTGCATCATTGATTCTGTCCAGATTCCCTGACGTCAAGATGTTGGCTGGGCTTTCCGAGTGGGTACCTGCTCCTTCGACCTGATCTCCTGCACTTGCAACACCATTTGAATAGGAGGCTAGGAGGAGAGGAGACTGGGAGCCAGTCAGGGTTGAGGCAGAAGATGAAGCGGAGCTTCCCAAATCTGAAGATTGCCTGTTGGCAGCAGGGATGTTCTCCTCTCGGCAACCTTCCTGGGATGTCAAGTAGCTTAGTGGTCTAAGTGCTCCGTCACCGTGAAAGATTTCCGCAACTTCAGGAATCACCGAGGGCCCTGGAAGAACTGTTGGAACTGTGTTGACATCAGAAGAGACAGAATTTTGAGGGTCCTCTCGACTTCCGCTTGCTCCACCATGAGCCCTGAAGTTAGCAGGTAGGCTGGATGATGAGAGGCTTGAGGAACTTGCTGAGTTGCCTGGAGTGATATCGATGACACTAGTGCTTCGACTGACATGATGATACCGCACACTGTCCTCTCCCAGATCTACGAAGTCTGAGGAAGAACCAGAGGAGTCCTCAGAAACCTAGAACAAGAATGTACGTAAATGATGAGAAAAAAACCAAGATATGGGGGCAAAACATTTGTACATTTTTCTCAGTGGAATGGCAAAGGGAATGTGATGCCGGCGACAAAGATGTTGAAAGTGATATTTCTGGTCTGCGTAAACATGGGCCCCAGGAACCAAACAATTCTTGTTAAAGGTATGTAGAGTAGATCATTTGTGCATTTGTTTTGTTCCAAGCAACAAAAGTGCCCAACATCTAAAGAATTACCTCTGTGAATACTGTATATTCTGAGAAAACAATAATCTAGGATCTCGATTTCAATTCAAAATTGCAGTCATATTATGCCCCAAAATCAGCATCTCATTCAGCCAATTGCAGCTACGCGATGTCACGAACTAAACTGATGCATAATAGTAACCCGCGCATATGTGCGTCGTGTCAATGCCCTTCACACACGGTCCCTTTCAAGCATTTGCCCTTTTTAGTATTACAAACCAACTACTAATGGCCCATTAGTTAAGCATTAAAACATCCAGGTATTTCAACTGTAACTCCCAAATTGTTGCAAAGAACCCTCCTGAGTCCTACAAAATCCACCACATTTTCTAGGCAAACTCTTTGGACTTAAACTTCCCAGGGGTTCAAGCTGATCAACCCTAATAACTTCCGGATGGATTTTGAATGATATGGGATTATGTTAAGGTTAAAATGACCTCAGTGTGTCCATGTTTGTCCACAAGTGTCCACCCCCTGGAGGACCCCTCCCCGTCACTCTCTGAGGACATGGCTCATCTGGGGCCCACTGCGCCGGATCTGCGGTGTTAACTGTTGACGGTCAGCTATACTGTGTGCTGAAAAAAGGAAAATATTCGTAAAAATCACATTTTCAGGTTAGATTTTACAGACTTGACATGCTTGAATAGTTTTGAAAGTGAAGTTGTTTTTAAAAAGGCCTTTCAGTTTCAGGTTCCATATGCAAATTATCAACCTGGGCTCAATTTTAATTTAAAAGCACACACGTTTTCAAAAAAAGGATGATCTCAGTCCAATTCAAATGGGAAAATTCCCTTACATGCCAAATCTGGCCATCACTTGTCACCCTGACCCTGTGAGCTGTGGCCTGTGCACAAACCGTATGGGACTGTTCTGAAAATTTCTCCTGTTTTTTTTTCAGGAAATACTTCGTTTTTTTCCCTGCCAAATTTGATTTTAAGGAAATATTATCCCTTTCTGATGGCTGATAGGTCACTGAAGGGGGGAAAAAAATGAGTGATGGCCAGATAGGGGAATATTTTCCATTTGCCCAACAACATGGTAGGTAGCCTACGTTGATAAACACGACAATTATTGAGTGGGGACGTCGGACCGACAGTGTTCATGATCACTTGCACTTCGTTTAATTTGCAAAGTTAGCACAATGAATCGTGCATAAATTCAGCCTTAGAAGACACAAATACTACCTACTGTTTTTGCAGATGAGAACAGAGACATGAATATCTTCATTTACAAATACAGACCGTACTATTAGCTGGGAGGAAAAGAACAGAAAACTTACAAGTTACAGCTCCAACTCGCATTCGTCTCGATTATGTTTATAAATAATATGTATGACCTCGGAAGAATGACGTCATAGGTCAACTTGACAAGTTTACCAAGCACGTGTACATAGTTGGCCAATCACGATCGTCCCATCTGTCCAATAAGAAAACAACCCGTCTAGTTTCCAAAAGGCCAAAGTACGTATCTCAGATTCATCGCTAAATAACTACTACGTGGCTATATCTACCCCAACAAATTTAAGTTTAGATTGTTGTTGTCTGCTTACGTCTCTGACGTCATATCCAGGCAGCCTTGAATCTCGACCAATGAAAAATCAACCCGTCTCGATCCCATACCTCACCTTTATTAGCTTGCGCTTGTTCTCCTTTTTATTCCTAGGGATCTCTAAATTAATGTACTATAAATAGTCGGACGATTGAAATTTCATCATGCAAGGGAATTTACTGGTTACATCATTTGTTCTGTTCTTATATGAGTTTGTGAAAGTGGAAGACGGGATATGTCCGATTGGAATCTTGTTTATAAAGTTGCCACAACTTTCTGTGTTGCAAGGAAATTCATGAAAACCTTGTTCCGAGAGAGAAAAAATATTAAGATCTTGTTCGGCTCGTCACCTATGTACTGTATGCGGCCCCAACTCATTTCACAGCAATACAGGGTGAGTAAAAAAAACACGACACCCAAATGTCGGGACTCGGCTGTTTTAGTGAAGTTCTGCATGTAGCACTTTCAAAATCTAGGATTTAAAAGCCCAATTCATAAGCTTTCTAGCGTTTAGTACAAGAATCATTCAAATCACTCAAGTACTTTTCAAGCTATGGAATTTTAAACACAACTACCGTTTTAAAGTTCTGTCCATGTATCACACAAAAGGTGTGCGTTCTTCAGCAAAACGAAAACAATTAACTAATTCGTTTTTGCTGAAAGAACAATCACCGTTTTGTCATGCGTGGACAGAACTTTAAAACGCTGGTTGTGTTTAAAAGTCCGTAACTTGAAAAGTACAGGAGTGATTTGAATTATTCTTGTATTAAAGAAAGCATATGAATTAAGCTTTCATACCCTAGATTTTGAAAGTGCTACATTAAGAACTTCACTAAAATAATGGTCCCGACATTTAGGTTTCGTTTTTTTCTACTCAATCTGTATAGCGTAAGGTATTGCTACCTTGATTATAGGATATTTCTTTTAAATACAATTTAAACAAAAATCATCAAAATATCGTTCAGCAATCAACAGCTCATTTAAAGTGTAGGGCCTACTATCCAAGTTTTTCCCCTAGAACTGGATTTTGTTTTTATATTGCTATCATTTGCTATCAATACAACAGTTACTTTTGAAGAAATAGACCGTAAATATCAGCCCACGTTTTGTTATGAATAATGACCTAACAAACTTCGAAAAATGTGCGGCCCGTCAATAATTCCTGTCTGGGTAAACTGAATCCCGCATCTATCTTAGAATCGATAATCGGGGGGGGGGGGACCAATCTACTCGCGGGATGGGGAGTGCGCAAAGCAACCATACAAGCATTTGAAAAAGCAGGCGCTCAAAATAAAACAAAACCGTACAAATAAAACACTTAATGGCCAAAATTCGTTGGCAGAAGGGAACTGAGTTGTATTGAAGAGCACGTGCAGTATATCTTTAATGTTGAGAATATCCGGGGCAAATTTGTACTTCATCCATAGAGCTGTATATTCTTATTTTACAGCTCTGTGACTTCATCCCGTATCCCCCCCCCCCCCCATAAAAAACCGCCCCGCACAACCAGTCCTTCCAGGATCGGACCCCATCTAATCGTGTAATACTAATACATCTAGTACGTTGTTGATAGTTTAAATAATGGTTTATTTTATGCTCATTTCATTTCCTAAAGAGATACCCTTCTTCTGTTTTAAGGAGACTAACAAATTGTGCTGGCCCCCTAACTATGCTCCGCCCACTAAAAGGTACCAGCAAATACTGTCGTGCAGCGCAGCCTGTGCTATGCTAGCGCGCGTGCGGTACACAATTTCACAAAAGCCATGTGCAAAATTTCCCTGGTGTTCGTCATGAAAAAGTGTTTTGCACGATAGATTGTTTGTTACCGGTGAAACTTTTACGTTCTTAAACGAAGAACGAGAACTCGTCGTCTCTTCAGTTTGACGAAATCACCTTGTTTTTCTCTTTCTCACGGCCAAAATGTGGGTGGAGGAATTCGGAGAGGTGTTGGACATGTTTAAGGGCAGCTGGCCCCTGACTTGGTTGTTTCTGGTGCCGGTTTTGATCATGATTTCCCCGGTACATGCAGCGCACGAGTTCAGCGCTTACCGCATGCAGCAGTTTGATCTTCACGGAACACAGTTTGGTAGGCATGGATAGGATATCTATTTCCGACACCAAACACATGTATTTATTCAACGCAGTGGCTATTGTTACGGCAGTCGACCGACTGGTTCCCTGACAATAATCAACGTCAGGTTCTTTGGCTCTTGGAACCAGACTATCCACCAAATGAAGCTCACTTTTCTCAGACATTATTTCGGAAAGATTGTTGCAACCTGACGCCACTTCTGACTTCGCGGTTGTGTGCAATGAGAGTCAAGAATTTTTTCTATTATTTCCTAACAAAATTGAAAATGTTTCTCAGCCCCATATTCATTTCTTATCATCATTTTCGCAATAAATGACCTTCATTGAAATGATGGTGTCAGGTTGCAACGTTCTTTCCAGCATTAGGCCTATTTCCCATATAAAAAATCCTCCAAATTGCCATATCATCTGATCATCATGATCACTTAGAAACAAAAACAAAAGATACATTCTAGCCTAGGCCTAAGTAGGATTTGATTAAAAATGTAAAACTTAAAATTAAAGAAGTCTAAAAGATCAAGAACAAAAAAGAAACCAAACAAATTCTCACAGCGTGGATACGATCCCGAGACTTGAAAAACATACAACGTTTGACAAATACAAGTCGAGAGCGCTCTGGTTTAGAAAGGTAGCTTTAGTTTTAAATGTAATCATGGTATAGTCTTTCAATTGGTTGTTTTTTGCAATACCGTAACATGTATAGCGCTTGAAAATGGCATTACGACTGCCATAACGATAGTAAGTCACTACGTTATTCAACAGTTTAATTACCTGCTCCAAATATATAAAGACAAGACATTAATTTTTTGAAATTAAACAAAAAATTAAAACATGAAGTCGTAATCCTGATTTTTGGAAGAGTTAAACACCAATGGACATTTATTGCAAAATAAAGTTAAGCCTAGTTTAAATCTGGAATGTTTCTCAAGACTAAAAAAATCTGTGTCCCAAATGTTTGTGTTTCCAGCACATTTTTCAGCGAAACAATAAAATTTTATCAGGACACTGCATTCCTTTCTAAAACTGCCTTGTTCTTTATAGATCAAATTTGCACAATTTTTAAGAATTGATCAAGTTTTATTTTTTAATTTTTTTATATAGGCCTATTTTCTTGCAAAACGAATGTTAATTTTATCTTTTGCATGTATATTAGGATGTCGCAATGCCCTGGTTAACATGGAAGCACGTCCTATCCACACGCCCGTCTTAACAAGACGATGCATCATCACTAGGCTTGCTGATCTGACATCAGTCAGGTATCGAGAGATGATGGAACAATCGGCAGGTGGTCTGCTCGTCTTACTCCCCAAGGATCTCAGCTCCTTACCTCAAGATGTACTCAAGGTTCGAAGAAAATGTGTGTCTCGTTTTGACTCCATGTGCATTCTTAAGAGGGCGCTGTAGGATAGCAATTACTGAAAGTAAATTGATCGAGCCCAAAATCATCGTGTTTTAACCATCACAGATCTGTGAATGTAAGGCACGGAGAGGCATACATGTTGCACACATTCGCGGTGGGCAAAGCTTAGTGGGAATGTCTTTTTCTAGCCTACTTTGAAGAGCATATCTTGCTGGTGTATGCCCACTATTTATCCAATTTATTCAATTTTAAACCCTGCTAAATGCAACAGAAAGCAACAAAGGTAAAACGTTGCTGCATACTGTTGCATTTTAGCAGCCAACTCAAGTCCTCATGCTTTGTTGCGCCTTGTTGCTTTTAGCAGGGTAACTGCTCATAGTGCCAAGGCGATACAACAGAATCCACTGTTGCATTTGGTTGCATTCAGCAGGGTAACTGCTTGGTGCCAAGGCTGGTATGCACTGGATTCACTGCACAGTGCAACAGAATCCACTGTTGCAGTTTGTTGCATTTAGCAGGGTAACTGCTTGGTGCCAAGGCTGGTATGCACCGGGTTCACTGCACAATGCAAGAGAATCCACTGTTGCAGTTTGTTGCATTTAGCAGGGTAACTGCTTGGTGCCAAGGCTGGTATGCACCGGGTTCACTGCACAATGCAAGAGAATCCACTGTTGCAGTTTGTTGCATTTAGCAGGGTAACTGCTTGGTGCCAAGGCTGGTATGCACTGGATTCACTGCACAGTGCAACATAATCCACTGTTGCAGTTTGTTGCATTTAGCAGGGTAACTGCTTGGTGCCAAGGCTGGTGTGCACTGGATTCACTGCACAGTGCAACATAATCAACTGTTGCAGTTTGTTGCATTTAGCAGGGTAACTGCTTGGTTCCAAGGCTAGTGTGCACTGGGTTCACTGCACAATGCAACAGAGTCCACTGTTGCAGTTTGTTGCATAGCAGGGTAACTGCTTGGTGCCAAGGCTGGTGTGTACTGGGTTCACTGCACAATGCAACAGAATCCACTGTTGCAGTTTGTTGCATAGCAGGGTAACTGCTTGGTTCCAAGGCTAGTGTGCACTGGGTTCACTGCACAATGCAACAGAATCCACTGTTGCAGTAGTTTGTTGCATTTAGCAGGGTAACTGCTTGGTGCCAAGGCTGGTGTGCACTGGGTTCACTGCAAAATGCAACAGAATCCACTGTTGCATTTCGTTGCATTTAGCAGGGTTCTCTTTTCAGTTGTGTTGGATATTGTTGCATTTAGCAGGGTACCTGAAGAATACTCGATGGGGTAAGAGTTAATAATATTCAAGAGTGGCATAGGCTTTAGGTTACTTCAGTCGATAAGCAGTTTGCAGCAATTTGTATTCATTTTCATGAGTTATGACCAGTTTGTGATTTCTTGATACCAAGTCACAAACAACCAAATAATTGTGGAAAAAAAGGCAAAAGATGATCACTTTTATGAATTGGATGTATTTCTTGTTCTCCTTAGCATTGGCTTGAGTTGGAGCCACAAATGATGGAACAGGAGACCACCATGCCGGTCTACTTTGCTCATGAAGATGAGGAGCTGTTGGACATTCTTGAGGAAGTCAATAGAGCCGGCAGCTCAGATCAAGCAGGGACAGCTGTGGAAGGTAGGAACTCATACCCAAGTACCCCTTATCTTGGGGCTTATAAAGCCTGGGGGTAGTTGGACATTATTTTATTTGTTATTTATTTGATTTTATGTGTTTTTGGACTTTAAGAAAAAGGTTCATATTGGATGTAAAACATATGGTCAGCCACTTTTTATTCAAACACTTGTCCTGTATTTTTGCTCAATATATTTTGTCCTGTAAAACATCTTTTCAACAGAAGTTCCTGATCATATTATTTTCAAAAGAATTGCCAGTCAATCTTCAGTACCTCTCCTGAAATGGGTAGTCGAAATGCACTGGGGAAGAATTCCATACATGGACATCACTAAAAAAAAAATCCCTGCTGTGACCTATCAGCCATCAGTAAGCGATAACATGTCCTAAAAAGTCAAATTTAGCAGGGAAAATTTTGAAGCATTTACTGAGAAAACACTTGGAATTTTTCAGACCAGTCTCATAGGGGTTGTGCACAGGGTGTCAAGTGATGTCCAGGTATGGAACTCTTTCCATTCACTCTGTGAACTACTTGAAAAGTAAAAGTTTGTGTTTTGTTAAATTAATGTGTTTGGTTTGATACTATTGCTCTCTCTCTGTAAAAGATTAACTGTTGCAGTTCAAGAGTACAGTCAGAATTAACTTTACGCTTGAGCCAGTTATAACACCGTCCTATTTTTAGGTTCGAGCATCATAGTCTTAAGAATTTCAATTTTTCTTAATGAGTATTTCTTGCCTTTGTTATCCTCCCAGCTTTACTCAGTGCAGTGTATGGCAATGGCTTTCAGATGGTTGTGAGTGGTCCCCAGGCTAAGGCTATCAAAGATGCACCAATCATCAGTTTGCAGGTAATAAGCCTGTGCAGAATGACATGGCTACGGCTCGTAATCACACACGAGCCTATTGAGGCGGATGAAGCCACTCTTCACTGACACGTGTGATATAAGACTTCACAGGAAATCTAGATGTAATGCTACTTAATAAAAACAAATAGACTTTTACACTTGATACAAGTTATACAAATATTGAGTGGCTTAGAGTGAAATGGAAGGAATATTATCGCAAGGTAAAATCTGGTCTTTTCCATTTCACGACGCGAAGCCGAGTGAACTGGAAAAGTCCAGATTTGACCGAGCGATAATATTCCTCCCATTTCACAATTTAAAGCCACTCAATATTTGTTTTATATAACTGACATATAGATCCTTGTCATTTGATATACATGTACATGTACTTGATCTTTTATTTCAATACAAAATTGGTTTAAAATGTGTTTTCTCTCTTCCAAACCACCCCTTCGCGAAAATGTTTGAACCCAACTCTGTAGCGCTGGCTCTTTGGAACAATACGCGCTACACGCAATGCTGAACTCGCACAGCAGCATGCATTTGCACACAAATACCGCGTCATGGAACAAGCATGATCCTAACTATTCAATAGTATTTCCCATTCCCCATGGGCGAATGGGACTTTTTGAGCTGCGGTGTGAATGGGAGTAATAACAAATGTCACGTGATGCGAGTTCCATCAATCAAATGACAAGGATCTGTATGTCGGTTATATAAAAGTGAATATGTCTTAGAATGCAGCAGAGTTATTGATTTTATCAGACGATCAGAAAAGATTTAATTCAATGAAAGAGGGACTTTTTTAGAGGTATTTTGTAATTGTCAAGTATAAGTTTTCTAATGTCACAATTTGTGGGTTTTTTAGTTTGCAATACTTGTTCATTCACACCCGACAAATATTAATAACAATGTTGTGGAAAGTGTTGTCTTAATCACTGAAATAATGTTTCAAGTGAAGTATATGACCACTTGGCACAAGGATTATTTCAACATTGACTGGACCCAGGCGCAGGATTGTTTTTCACGAACCTCGATACCAGACGAGTTCAGTGTGTCTTGTTGTCCATGTAAGTCTTGTGTTGTCTTCATTAGCTTTCATCCAGTTCCCTTTGCATGCTGACTTTGCCTTTGTTTTGTGTGATCTCAGGGTAAACTGACCGGCAAGGGTGTGGAGGACCAGCTGCCAACCATCGCCATTGTGGCTCACTACGACACCTTTGGCATTGCACCTGTAAGTCAGAATAGACAATTAATTATAATTCCTAACTTTGCTGCCATTTGATAGGCCATGTCCGAAATGAGCTTCCAGAACTACAACTGCATCTGTTGTCTCCATTTTCCCATGTAGTTGTAAAGGTCAAAAACCTAGACAATCGGTATAGACAACGAATTTGAACAGTGCCTTAGGATTCTCCTCCATCCACCCAAACAAACACTCCGCAAAATGGATCAGTTTAGCCCATGTAGCAAATATTGCAAAAACCGGGTGTGGATTTTGCAAGATTGAGTGTGATTAAATGTGTGTAAATTGTCAATCTTAAATGTATCAAATCTGACAAGAACCAAAAGTGGACAAAATATGTTTGATCCTTTTGACCATTAAACATAGAACTATTTGTTGTAGCTGCTGGGTTGGATGACATTGTAGAGGCCTCACACATTTTTGTGTCGCCTAAAAGTTTTGGGGGACACTTACCAGTTCTAAATTCTGTATCCCAGTATGATTGTATGTATGTTAAAGTTTAGGACAAGTTTTTGAGAAAAAAAAATGTATAACTTCTACATGGATTCATGGATTTTGATGAAACTTAGATGCAGTGACCATTGGGTGGGAAGACGCACACTTGTTCTTGCAAGGTGCCTAGAGAGCATCTGAAGCTTTTGATTATTTATGTTGTGAATATTTTGTTTCTCTTGCCAGTATTTATCATTTGGTGCCGATTCTAACGGCAGCGGAGTAGCAGCTCTACTAGAACTCAGCAGACTTCTCTCCAAACTCTACACCAACTCCAGAACACATGCCAAGTATCCTTACGCAAATCTGAAAGTGATGCACGTAATTTGTGGCATCATGGCAAGTATTCGTACTGTGAATTGGTAAAAGTTGAACGCATCTCAACTCCTGTGAATTTTGCAGCAACGGTTTCACGACGTCAAAGTTGTCTCGGCCTTTAGTCTAAATCTTTGTAGATTTGAGATATCAAAATGAGAAATGAAAAACTGCTGGAACTTGCTTAGCCTACTGATTTGATTGGTCGTTCGTTACCAATCATAATCATTCAATTTTGGATAATGATTTTTAAAAAGGTGACTTTTTATGTGAACTGGTTGTGAAAGCAACAATCGCATTGACCTTAACTGTTTTCAGATATAATTTTCTGTTTCTGTTATCCGGCGGAGGTAAATACAGCTACCAAGGAACAAAGAGATGGATTGAAGACAGCTTAGAAAGTACAGGTAAAAAAATAGTCTATCAGTTGGGAAAATTCAACCATAATGTATATGAATAGTATTTTCCCTGCTTTTGGTTACAAAAAGCTTCTGAAAGGTAGGGCTTTCCCAAATACACCGAATATTCAAATGTTCAATCATCAAACGAACGTCCAAGAAAAAAAAATATACACAAACATCCCGAGGTCCTTGGTTTCAGTGCCAATTCCTCTATTAATATTTAGAAAAATCTTTTTTTTACAGAAAGTTAACTTCAAGATGAATATTTGCTTTCATTACAGAGTCCACACTCCTTAGTGATGTTTCCTTCGTTCTATGCTTAGACAGTATCGGTGCCAGTGACAACTTATTTCTCCATGTTTCCAAACCACCTAAAGAAGGCTCCATTTCTCACCAAATTTATCAGGTAAAAAAAATGGAAATTGTTTGACTGTGAGATATAGCCGGACGTCTTATGCAAATTAACAAAATCTTCAACCCACAGAGGACTTCAGTGAAAGAGGTTTCTTATGTTGGGAACATTTCAGGAATATCGTATGAAATGTATGATGTCAATTTTTTGTACGATTTTGCAGCTTAAAACAGTGTTTTTTGCACTAAAGTTCTCATTGTTTGCGCTGGCAATAAAACCACCCTCGATTTCAACTGATAGTGTGATAGTATAGACCTTATGCATTTCAGGTGTCTTTGAGGGTGTTCTTTGTTATTTTAATCTAGGATCAATGAATGCATCTAACGTTTACTTCTGGCTTTCTAACAAATTTTCAATTTGTATGGTTTTTTGTTTTAACGAAAGAACAACTTTAGTTCAATTTTGGACATCTGCAAACCTCTGAAAAAAAGGGCTTTCATTTTGGGCACTTATGAACCCATCCTGAGAGGGCCAAATTATTGTCTGGCAGCCAATAATTTGAATTTTGTGAGAAAAAAAATAATTCAATAACCATTAAACTTCTCTGGATTTTTTCGTTTGATGTCTCATTCAAAAGTGAGTAACTTTTAAATTGCTAGGAAAAAAGCAACTGATTTTTTTTTTTTTTTTTAGGTGAAATTTGAAAAAAGCACGGGGAATGCATCTTTTACTAGTCTGCCTCAATCAATAAGGTCGTTTTGTACTCATATTACTCCAGTAATTGTTTTTAATTCAAACTATCGAAAAAACAGCATTCCTCAAGAGATCAGCCTTTTATTTTTCAATTTCTCTTTTCCCCCATGGGTACCAGGAAATGGAGACGGTGTCCAAAAGCCTCTATCCAGACGTTGACTTCAGCATGATACACAAGAAGATTAATCTAGCGGACGATCTACTGGCCTGGGAGCATGAGAGATTCAGTATGCGTAGACTACCCGCTGCATCCGTCTCGCATCTCAAGACACACAAAGACGAGTACAGAACATCTATATTAGATGACAGGTACATATGACATTTATATTTTATATTTAAGTTTATAATAAAGTTCAATTCACAGAACAGAATTTACGTACTTGTTAAATACCGGCCAAGCACATTTTTATTCCCATTTTATAAATTCCCTTCGGTCAACAAGTAAAAATTAGTTAGAAATTATATATTCCAACAATTTTGTTCAACAATTTTACTTTATGTTTTGTGAAACACCTCTCTAGCTATGTTTATGGTATGTGCCTCACGTAGTGCTAAAAATCTCCTTATGTGGAGATTGGTGCACGTGTGGTGCATACTGCGTGATGTGGTGCAGAACGCAGCAGTGCCGGGGGAAAAAAAGTAGTTAAGGCCCCCCAAAAAAATATTCGGTCTCTGGTCAGACCAAAGTTCCGGAATTGACGCAGGGACGCGGCATTTTTTTTTTTTTTTTTTTTTTTTTTTTTTTTTTTTTTTTCTCTCCAAGCTTGGATTGTACAGACAAGGTGGGGTACTATTTTGCTATTTGGTGTCCTCAAGTACATTGGTGTCTTCCATAGTTTGCCTTGGTGCTCTCGATTATTTGCCTTGGTGCAATTTCCCATTCCTTGGTGCTCTTTGGTAAAAAAAAATTGAGGAGGTGCGGCAATAGAGGGTGTTGAAGCTACCGCGGAACATTTTGGGAAAAAAAAGATTGACGCGCATGATTAAAATCGACGCGCGCGCTGACCAGAGACCGACTTATTTTTTTTTTGGCCTAAAGCCAGTGGGTGTTTTATCAACTGTTTAAAACCACCCACATGACAGTCTTTCGACCAGTAGGAATGGTTAAACTATTATGAATGTTTATTACAATCTGACATGTACTGAGACAAGTACAGAACATCCATATTGGATGACAGGTAGTCAGGTACATGTAATATAATATTAACAACATTGCAGATTTTTGTTTAAAATTAGGTTTCTCAGGAATTAAATGGAGAAGTAGAAATTTTAAATTGTCATTCGAACATTTATTAAAATCTGAACTGTAAATCCTGTACATGTAGCTTCCACAAGATTCTCATAATAATCTACATTTAATACTCTTTGTTAGAATGGTTAAAAAAAAAACAGAGACGAAACTTTTCCGATTTTAATCGGAAAACCGACTTTTTGACTTTTCCAACAAAATGTCCGATTTTTGTACGATTTATCCAACAAATTTAGATTTTTTAACGATTTTTCCACAACATGTGATTTTATTTAAATTATGATTTTGAAGAAAAGTCGATGAAAAAGTCAATGAAAAGGACACATCAAAATCATTGTGAGTGTAGTTTTAATCTCTTTCACTAGTTGTAAACGGAGTGTTTCTACCCTAGAAACACCTAGGCCAACACTGATCGGAGCCCAGATTTCGGAGATGTATTTTTGTTTGGCCTTTTTTCTGATTTTTTTCCCATATGCCAGTTTCATTTCTGAAAAAAAAGTGTTCAATATATGGAACTTGGTCTTCATACTCGTTCTACTTTTCTTCACATTTTTAGATCCAGAGTAGATGTGGATGTGTTAGCTCGTAATGTCAAGATCATAGCTGAGGCTTTGGGTAGACACATCTATGGAATCAGCAAGAATAGCCTGGATAAACAGCCGGAAATCTTTGTGGATGGCATGGTGAGTAATGCATTGGGACACTCTTTGTGAACTGTAATGTATTCAGTCTACATTATTGTATACTGTCTCAGAGAATGCACTTCCTCTTTGTGTTGTGAAAAAAATGTAGGCTATTAAAGGGAATATACAACATTTGCAAACATCGAAAAATAAAACTACCTAGTTTTTACGAAATACCTTACTAGGATGTTGGTAAATGACAGTCTAAAGCATCCTGTAAAATTATGGCACCTGGTGTGAAGTCATTTTCAAGAAAATGGTATTTTTGTAAAAATTTCCAACAGTGGTCGGCCGACCACCGTTGGAAAAACCTAACTATTTTTCAACTGCTGCTCCAAATTAACCATTTTTCTTTCAGTCCAAATTTTGTTTGCTATTGGTTACATGTTCATGAACGGGTGCAGGCTGGCTAGACTGGTTCCATTACCTTACAAGTTTCCGGCATCTGTAAATTGATCCATTTTATATTTAATGGAGTCAGGGAACCAGACTACTTGAATATTTTTGTTTTTCTTGTTTTTTCCAGCATTTTCGAACACAAACCTTCAAACATGTCAGTCTAACAATATTTGATCTATTATACTAACCCCTCAAATAGTTCATTTGTTTTTCTTGTTTTTTCCAGCATTTTCGAACACAAACCTTCAAACATGTCAGTCTAACAATATTTGATCTATTATACTAACCCCTCAAATAGTTCATTTCTGAAAATTACAGCAAAAGCCAATCATGTACATTCCCTTTAATACAACACGAAATGCGAAATTTCAGATTCACATCATGACAAACTTTCATTCTCAGTATTTGTTTATTTCCATTTTAAAGAGGAAGCTAATCCTGTGTTATGAAACAATGATGTGTTATCAATGACATAACGCCAGATCACTGTTGTTTGATACCAATATTAACCCTAATAACCCTGCAGGGTATTTTGTACGTTGTAGGTATGTTAAACGTTAACAAAATTAAAGGCTAAGTCCCATCCTTTGTTTGGGTTAAAGATTTCTTTTGAGAGCTTTGGGGTACTGACCACTCGCAGCTAATAAAGGTATGAAGGCGATAAGACAAATATTTCTTTATTAATCCTTATTTTTGTATCTTTTTTATTTCAGGGTATCAACAGGGACTTCTTAGCCTCTTGGGTCGACTACTTATCCTCCAATCCCCGCCCAGCTCAGCTCATGGTGTCTAAGGACCAGCCCGTCTTATCCACCCTCGAGCAGACGCTGTCCAAGCATCTCATGAAGGAGGTCAAGATGATATCCATCAAAGCTGACAAGAGGTAAGACTCGCTGCTCCCACAAGTTGAGTCAACGAGAAAGCAGATTGAGACATGCAACACTGAGATTCACTGAGATTAATTCAGAAGCTTCTAAAAACCTGGAATACTTTGCTAGGAGTACCACCTGTTCTCAAATGAAATGTGCTGATTTTCATGTCTAGAAACATTTAAATATGTGATTGTTTATCAACATGTGCTTTCTTATTTTGTTATTGAGAGATGATTTGTTCACACTGTATTTGTATAGTCAAAGTATATTGGATTATGGCAGTGATAATATTAGTTATCCCGCGAGCACGAGTGGAACATGAAATAGTGTAGTGTGTCTGCATCCCATATACCACTCGGCCGAATATATGTGACACAGACACACTATATTTTCCGTGTTCCGCGAGCGCCAGCGCAATAATAAATTACTTTTCAAGCAAACTTGATGCACTGTTAAGTTGCTACTAGCACGCTGACACGAACCTTTCAGTGGTTTAGCACATGCAGCTTGAATGTCGCTTGCATCTTGGAATAGCGCAATACGCAGAGTGCGATACGGACCGTTCGATACGGTATAATATTTCACTGTTGTTGTCATGGATCGACAAAGCAGAATCGAGGATTCATGTTTGCTTGAAGATGAGTAATAATATAGGTATTTTGTTACTGTGTATACTTTTGTCCTTTCAATAACACCTTTCAATTTATGATCATCAGTTTGGTGTTAACTTTAAAGTACAATTCTTTTCTCATCCAGGGAGCCAGAGTATATTTTCTACGATGGTTTGAAATTCACCATGTATGCCTACAGGTAGTTATTTGATTTCTTTTTTGTTTTTCGCTAATCGATTCTCAACATGTGCACATGCAGTTCCTTTTACGAAGTAGTTGACACTGGCTTGAGCCCTGTCCCCACGTGTATGAGAGGCAACGCCCTCCAAATTTTCTGCAATCTTATTCTTTTCTTTTCGCGTCTACACATTAGGCCAAAAAAAAGAATAGTTCTGCTTCCGGTTACCCGACCGACCCTATTTTTAGGCTGCGACCCTAAAAATTTTATCGGCAATTCCCCCCCCCAAAAAAAAAAAAAAAAAAATTGAATAAATAGGGTAAGCACGGGTGTATTCGACCGGGGGGAGAATTCGACTGCCGTTACTAACCACTCAATAAAATTCGTACGAGGTATCCTGTTGTCATAATAAACTTTGAACATCATGTTCAGTTCCTGCCCTTGATTGTCCATTGTTCAGAAGTCAGAACAGCTCCGTGAAATCTTTGTAATTCAGTCCCAAATTGGACTCGCGTAAGCCGTTGCGCGCTGCGGCGGCCATGTTATTGGGTCACGTAAGAACACGGGTATCATTGGTGGCGCCCTTTGAGACTTTACAGGGGTGATGACGTCAAATCAAGCCAACCTGTCAATCATTACTGGTTAGGTCATCAGGTCGATGTATGATTGGCTGACAATATTTATTGGGCAGGGCTGATATAGGGGTGATCAAATTATGACCAACAGAGGGCGCTGCTCTGGCTGTTTTCGACCACCGCGCTTATTGTATTGGCTTGGCACATTGGGGCGCGGGGGCGTGCGCGCGCGGTGAATTGGATCGTGCCTTGAGATTCACTTTGAGATTTTAAGGGTTGATTTGTGTAATTTATGGGTCTAATTCTTATTTTCCCTGGAAATATTTATTTTTATGATGTAATTTATTGTAAAGAAATGTAAAAGTGGTGGAATAAAAATCTTTCTGTTAAAAACAAAACAATTAACACGCCGTAGGCATTGGCCCGGTCGAAAACAACTACATGCTGGTCGAATTCTCCCACACAGTGACCGCTCGTTCAAAAGGTCAAAGGTCATACATCGTGACCATCAACGCTGACCAGGTAAGTTCTGAAATAAAGATAAAAGAGTGATATGTTATCCATTTGGAGTATGAGTTTCTTCCCCCTATTTCAAAATAAAATGGACCAAGTTTCCCTTATCCGGTCGAATACTCCCCCTTTTACCCTACAAATAAAATCTGTCTTTTCTGTCTTCACAAAATACCTCTCAACAACCCTTTTGCATCCAAAAATGCTTGTATTTATTTGTTTTCTTACTTACATTTGCTTTTTTTTCAAAGAAACCTCCGTTATTACAAATTCGCTTCGCCATATAACTACTTCGCAATTCGATGTCACGCACGGTGACTATAATCACGTGGCGCCGCGCAGGGGCCAATTTAGAAGACATAATGAAAATGCGGTAACCAGTCCATAGCTAGCTATGTGACCGATAGCGCGCTATCAGTACAGTGCAGGCCACTGTCAACTGGTCGGATTCGACATCGTAAAAATGCCAAGAAAACACCGATGGAGAAAGAACATTTTTGCAAGTTAATTTACAGAATTGATCTAGCTTGTCTGTGTATGTATTTTCTGTGTTCAGGAGTTCATTTTGAGATCGCACTACTCGTATTTGGAGTGATACATGCCGCGTGTTTCCCAAAATTGTTGACGGTAACAGCTCTGACGGCCCATGGTGGGCCGCTCGCCACACACGCACGCATTACACACCTCGGAGTTTTGGCCAGCTCCCCGCGTCTTGACTAGCGTTGTGCATATGGTGCGAACGGCCTGAATTTTCCATTATTTTTTGAAATTATCGAACGTAAATATATTGACTATAATTAAAGGTAGGTTTTACTCACTTTTTGTTGGCATTTCGTGTATAGCTTTCGTAGTGCAATAGAAATAGTTCAGGCTAAAACTTCGCATATAATTGAATACCCCATTCAATCTGCATAAAAAAAATTGGCCAAAAAAAAAAAAATTCCGACCGACCGACCCTATTTTTGAAAGGCATGTAATCGGAAGCAGAACCATTTTTTTTTTGGCCTTACCGCTGTCTCTGTAGTTTTAATGTATGCTTTCACTTTACACAGAATACAGTGCTGTATTCGTAAACATGTAGATATTCAATTAAATTTGATACCCAAGTCAAAGGTCAGTCAGACAAGTGCACGCTGGCTGATCTCAGACTCCAAACCTGTCATGAGAAATTTTGAGGCAGTGTTCAGACTAAATTAGAAATAGACTGGGACCAGTCCCAGAGCGTGACACAGAGAGTCCCAAAATCTGTCTGGGATATTCAGACGATCCATTCACTACAAACTTCAGATTCTTTAACCCTAACTACCTAGCCATTTTTTGCTAGGAGCAACCTCAATCCTGCAAAATCTTCCAACTGCCTCCATGTAAAAATTGCATACAGCCTCAATCCTGCTAAATCCTCCGTTATTTCTTGAATGTGGTCCTTGGAGGGATGACCACGGCCTCAATCCTCCTGAAAAATCCTCCAGCAGTGACTGTCAGTATGTTGAGGCAGAGCCAGTGACATCCCGGAGCAGTGCAGAGGATTTCAAGTATAATATAGGCCTACATTTATGCACGACTAAGCATAAACAACACAAGGTCCGGCCCAAGACTTTGACCCAGTACATCCTCCGAAATCAGCAACACATTTTGCCATATAGCCTCAATCCTGCAAAATCCTCCATTTTGCAAAGAGGATTTTGGAGGATTTGGAAAGGTTAGGGTTAAAGATGGATAACCATGCTCTTCAAAAAGTTTGAATTTGTTTTCAATTTGTATGCTTTGTTTTAACAAAATCTACTTTATTTTAACAAAAAAAACCTACTTGATTCCAATTTGGGGCATCTGCAACCATCTGAAAAGAGGGATTTCAATTATGCACATAAATGAACCCACCCTACAAAGAGCCGAATTATTGTCTGGCAGCCAATAATTTGAAGTTTGTGAAGAAAGAATTCAATAATAAAACATCGGTGGATTTTTTTTGTTCCATGAAGCATTAAAAAGTGAGTTACTTTTAAAGTCCTAGCAAAATAGCAATTGGAAAAAAAATGTAATTTTTTAGGTGAAACTTGGAAAAAGAATGGGGAATGCAACAAATAAAATTAAAAAAGGAAGAGATAATGTGTCTTTTATTTTTGTCTGTTTTCAGCGTGAAGCCGGCTGTATTTGACCTGTTCCTTGCAGCAGGAATTGCTGGCTATCTGGGGATTATCTACCTTGCTGTCATGGTAAATTTCTCTGATATTTTCCAACGGTCATGAACAATCACTGTAAATGTCTCCTACTTGTCCTCATTACTCGTCTTCACAGCGTCCTCTTCTGTTCATGCACAGAGCCATTACAAACCCTCGTTGCTTTTTGTTTTGAATGTAATCAGAAGGCAACAGTGACCTAAAAAAAAATTCCCTTTTAAGACCAAAAAATTAAAAAGTCGGTCTCTGGTCAGCGCGCGCGTTGATTTTAATCATGCGCGTCGATCTTTTTTTTTCCAAAATGTTCCGCGGTAGTTCCAACAGCGCCCTCTATTTCCGCACCTCCTCAATTTTTTTTACCAAAGAGCACCAATGAATGGGAAATGTTACCAAGGCAAATGATTGAAAGCACCAAGGCAAATTATGGAGGACACCAATGTACATGAGGACACCAAAAAAGCAAAATAGTACCCACCTTGTCTGTACAATCAAAGCGAGAAGAAAAAAAAAAAAAGCAAAAACAAAAAAAAAAGCCGCGTGGCCATGTCAATTCCGAAACTTTGGTCTGACCAGAGACCGAATATTTTTTTTTTTGGCCTAATATAGAAGTAGATGCCTGAATTAGGTAGAATTAATACAATGCACTAGGGCTGTCACAAATATACCGAATACTCAAACACTTGATCCAGTTCGAAAAAAAAAATGAAAAGAAATACATGTACACGCAGGCTTGTGATGTTGTTTTAATAAAAATTTGCGGCGCTTTAGTGTCAGATGCCACGTTCTTGTTGACGGTGGTTCATTGTTCCCATCCTGTTAGCAGGTTAAAGGGAATATACATCATTTGCTTTTGCTGTAATTTTCAGAAATGGATGGAATTGGGGGGTTGGAAATATATAGCAAATATAGTTACACTGACTTTTTTGAGGTTTTGGGTTCGAAAATGCTATAAAAACCAAGAAAAACAATCATTTTCCTGTAGTCTGGTTCCCTGACTCCATATAAGAAGAAACAGAGCAGTTTACATACATTGGGGAATTGTAAGGTCAGGGAACCAGTCTAGCTGGCTCGTACCCGTTCATAGGTTTATAATCGATTGCAAACAAGTGCGATGGTCAATTGGGGCCAGTATTTGAAAAAAAGCCAGTTTTTTCCAACGCTGAACGGCCGACCAGCGTTGGAAATTGATACAAAAATAGCACTTTTCTTGAAAATGACAGTATACCAGGTGCCATGATTTTACAGGATGCTTTACACTGTCATTCACTAACAGTCCAGCAAGGTATTTCAAAATGATTTGGTAGTTTTATTTTTTGATGTTTGCAAATGTTGTATTTTCCCTTTAAAGCCTTTGACAGTTATAACTACTACAAAACACTCCAACAGCCCATAATATCAATCGCCGCATGCCAATTTTAACCGACGCGCTTTGCGTGCAACTTTTGACCAGCATAGCACCCACATGCTGCTGGTGGGTTAAAATAACCGAGTATTTGATCAAAGGGTGCTATGCATCCCTCGGGTGTTCAAAACGTCATATCCCACATCACACCAGTCAACAAGTGTTTTGTTATACCCATGTCTTGGATTTTTTGGATTTTGGTGTAAAAATCAGGAAAACAAACAGCAGTAAACACAACAATCATGACAATCTAACGTCAACTCACATGCATGTCGCATGCGCGAAACAGCTGATAGTCTGCAAGTTTGCTGCATTTTACGTGTGAAACACGTACGTACGCGAACCCACAAAGTCATAGCGCACTCCCTGTGGGATATCACAGGGAGTGTGCTATGACTTTTTATAAACTAAACACCTGATCGTTCTAGGCCAATGAAAATACAGTATTCAAGACAGAGGTATAACAATGCGCATTGGCATACAAGCCAATGTCATATCCAGCGTCACTATATCATGCAGATACAGTATGTGTTGGCTCCCCATAATCAAGTAGTTACTGAATGCACCGTTGTTGTGTTTTTTTCATTCAGCATTTCTCGACATTCATGGCTATTGTCAAGCGGTACTCCGTCTCCTCTCCCAAGCACAAGGAATCTTGAAGAACGTCGTTCAAGAGGACGTCGTTAAAAAAATGCTCCTATGCCAGAGCTTTTGTATTAGAGAACTGGTTTTTTTTATATGAGTGAGTGTCGACTATGTCAGTTATTGTCATTGTATGTGATTGTGTTTTGTGGACATTTGGGTGAGGGTAAGGGAGGAGGAAGGGTAAGGTTTGGATTGGAGGAGAATTCCAAAAATGTATTATTCATCGTTTTTCAAAATTGATATTCTTTAGATTTGAGTCTCTAGGGTCAAGGAGACATTAATTGCCAAGATAGGTTGGTACCACCGTTTGCTTGATACTTATTGCCATAGACCATTATCGTGTTGCGGCAATTTTGATTTTTCCCCATTCAAATCAACGTAACCAAAGCGAGGCTGGAAGGAAAAACAGTCTGGTTTCTTTTTGCACAAAAAATTATCATTCAGTACTGTTATGGGATACAGGGAACATGACTGAAATGGTGGCAGCATAATAAAGGTCTATTATCAGGGTTCCCACAGTCATGGAAAAATCCTGGAATTTAAAGCTATTACGGAAAGTCATGGAAAAGTCGCATATTTGTTTTTATATAAACAAGGAGTCACAGAAAGTTGATATTCCTTGGAAAAAAAGTCATGGAAAAGTCATGAAATCCTGCACTACCTTTACGTGATGATGCATAATGTTTGGCTGTGGCAGTCTTCGGTTTGCATTCCAGTTTGCTAGACTTCCTCTTTATGCATGCATGCTCTATACTTGTTGCATATTCAATGCACCGTTGTGATGCTTTTGTGGTGCTCAGTGGTATTGTGTCGAACTGGAAGGCTGCAAGGGAGTGGCGTCCCTTACCTCAGTGTGATGACTGGCCAGTGTATTGTAAATAGGCTCCTAAGATGCCAAAACAGCGTAGGAATTGGTCTTGGAAAGCCCTAATATTGCCATGGAAAAGTCGTGGAATTTTGTTTAAGATTTCTGTGGGAACCCTGCATGATTCCCTGGACCACTGAAGTATGCAGGTTGTTGGGGATAATACTTGTATCATGTTAAAACGGCAGAATGTATCAGTTTGAATTCTCTCATTTAACACATTACTGCCCTTCTGTTCTGATCGATGAAAGTAAGAAAAATCTTTGGCCAATGTGCTTTCGTTTTTTACCTCCTTTGTCTTTAGTTCTGAAAACAATGCATTAAGTATGGGAACACTTGAAGCGTTTATTAGTATTAAACTCCTTAAAAGTTGAGAAATGAGAAGAAACCTACAGTGAACAGGTGGTGTTGTTTTTTTAGTGTGAAGGTAAATTATATTTTAAAAAAGAAATCCGAGGGTAAATAAGTATCAAAACGATCATGTGCAATTAATTTGAATTTACAGCAGAAAAAGTGGGGGGGGGGGGGGGGGGGCTACAATCTGATTTGTGAATGGAAGACTGCAATAGGTACTTCTTTATTTCAAAATACACGTATTTGTAATGATGAAGAACAGTAGAAATAGATATTGAATGATGTTTTTTTTTTACACATGTATGTGAATTTTCTTCAGTGATTTGGCAGGGGATTCAAATTGTTTGAAATCAGAACCTGAAAAAGCCTGCTGCAATTTCTGTTTTCTTCCACAAATTATGATGACGATCAATGTTACGTTGCTATCCTTTTGTATCATTTCTACTTTCATATTCAGACGATTTTTGTTTGCCATAAATTGCAAATGAGATAATGCCTAATGTGGATTGACGGGGTATGGATGATGGAGTCTCACTGAAATGGTTTCAAACTGCCAGCATTTACTTAATGGTTATGGTGTTCGACCCACGTGCCGTGGTACGTAGGTTCGAACCTAACGGGGACATGGTGCTTGTGTTCTTGGGCAAGAAACTTTACTACAATTGCCTCTCTCCACCCAGGAGTATAAATGGGTACCTGTGAGGGTAGAGACCAGAATGCACTGATCTCAAGCTGTTGCAAAAACTGGACTCATCATGGCCTGATGAACAGGGGTAATAATTGTGAAGTGCTTTGAGACCTTTGGTATAATAAAGCGCTACATATGCACCACATTATTACATACTATTGTAATATCAGTATCAAATTCTTTCTAATATTTAAAGGAAACCCTCCACTGATATATGCATTATGCAATAATTTGTTACACTTGATGTACAGAGTTTTGAAGAGGAACAGAAAGGGTATTTGGTAATTGAATTGACCGTGTCAAGAAGTAATATTGAGTAACGAGGCACAGATGTGATTTACAAGTCATTTGTAATTTATAAATAAAAGGTATTAATAGGAATGAAATTAAGTTGTGAGTTGCAAGTGTAAGTCTGTTGTCAGTTGGTCGACTGATATTTGTGATCAGAAATATTTTTGTGGAGGGGGTATGTTCATTATTTCCAAACTAATCACGTGGGAATTTATCTGTAGTATGGGGAATTGCAAAAACAGTGATAAACGCCAGTGGCCGACTAATGTTATGATATTTGTACTTTTAAAATAGGGCCAAAACTAATCAATGGAATGCTGAAGTTAATTTATTCCCAAATCGCTTTAGAAATCGGGAGAGAGCTTTGTAGATTTAAAAAAAATCCTGGGGCATTTCCCGGGACCCCCCCCCCCCCCCCGTGACAGGACGTGCTTTCTGTAAGCCATAACTCCCCTTCCCTAATTCATATCAACAACACCCCCCCCCCCCCGGAAAAAGTAAAGACTTTTTTACGGAAAAAAGTAAGGACTATGTTAGCCCGAGATTTTAAATCGACCGGAACAATGGGAGTAGGGCTATGGGGCATCTCATTTGACATGAAAATCAAAACAAGACTAACATCCGTTTGCTAATGCTATCTTTAATTCATTGTTCTCACCTTGAACTGTGTGATTCTAACACCTTTTGGCACAGATGGGAGTCATTACAGGAAACAAAACAGCTGAAAATGAACTTTTCCAACTTATCTCCGACCCTGAACGAACCCCACGGCCGGCCTTCGGCTGAAACCTCCGCGACTTCTCTGATTTTAAATCGATGACAGTTAATGCAGAAAAACAGAAGGCAAACATTTGAAATAACTGACATTTATGGCTGTAGAAAGGGCGAAGTAATATCAAGGGAATTCATAAATCGAAATTGTCCTTCGAGTAAAATGTACTAAATTACACTGGAGCCTTGGGTCTTAAGGTGAAAAATCATGAGAAAATAGTGTCAGAAGGAGGTCGGTTGCGCCAAAAAATACCAAATCAAGGCTTATAAGTTGTTATTTAGTTACGAATTTTGTTTCGCTAACTGAACGACTTTTGTGATCACCTTTGGTGATAAGACCCGGTTTCATTTGATGTATTTCATGTTATCAACCCAATTCCCCCACTGCTAAGTCTCCCCCACCCTGCTTCATTTGTCGGTTCCTGGAGGAGGAAAATTCTTTTGAACACAACATTTAGTTTGACATTTAACCAGGAGCAATTCCTTCTTTCACGATCTTTGTTTCCGGGGTACTGTTTTGAAAGGCATCTTAATTATCTGAGCAGCAAGTCAAAATGATCGGGATTGTTAACTTATTTCTCTTTCCGTGTAATTCATTTGTTCTTCATTCTTTCCAGTCTTCATCTAAGCATACGTTCCCTCAAGTCGCATGTTCTTGCCCCACCCTCCTCCACACAACCCACCCACAACACTTCACGCATCTCATCAGTCTTCAAAACTTAACTCTACCCTCATTAAGTAAAGAAGTCAATTGCGTTCCGTTAATGTCTTCGTCTTCCTCTCCAAGTCTTCATCTCAGCATCCTCCCCCTATCACATCTCAGTTGCTCCACCCACCTTCAAGTCTCGCCCAACACCTAATCACACACCATCAACAACCTTTCAAACTCAATGCCCCTCTTAATCGCAAGAGGAGGCCATCATACCGTGACGCATTCTCCAGCCTTCGTGTCTCCTCACATGTTGCATCCACAAACTCATTCATGACCTAGCCATCATCTAATCCCACACCTTAACTTAACACCTCTTAGCCGCAAGGAGAGGCCATTTCGTCGTCTACCATTTTCACCCTTTCACCCTCCCTCCCATCACATTATGCCCCACCCACTTTCAAGCCTCGCCCAACAGCTAATCACACACCATCAACCTTTCAGACTCAACACTCCTCTAGTAATCGCAAGAGGAGGTCATCCGTTGGTACCGTGACGCATTCTCCAGCCTTCGTCTTTTCCTCATGTTGCATCCCCGAACACATTCATGACCTAGCCATCATTATATAAACCTCAACACCTCTTAGCCGCAAGGAGAGGCCATGTTGTCGTCTCCCCTTTTACCCTCCCCTCCCATCACATTATGCCCCACCCACCTTCAAGCCTCACCCAACATCAAATCACACACCTCATCAATCTAGACTAACATTCCCTTGTACCGGAGGTGGAGACTTTGACTTACATTCCTCGTTTTCTTTTCCGACCTTCCAGCCATACTTTTTTTCCGGTCGACTTTGACACCTGTCGTCTGCCCGTCCTCGTGACGGGGGTCCTTGAATTAACAAGAGCCTCGGTTACCATAAAGTAAACTAGTTTTCTTGTGCTTGACCATGGTTGACCCGGGGATAACCCCAGTCATTAGAGCCCAGGGTCCCCACGGCGTGCCAAACCCAGCCGACACACCATGCAGCCATGTAACAGCTGGCATCGACATCGACCTATAAAAAAGCCCCGTGCGCCGGGAAAAATTCTTCAATAGCCCTTGTCTCAGCTCACACACGTGTTCTTCCAACTCCAAGCTGTAATTTACCACCAGAGGAATATAAGTCTCTTATCACTATTTATTTTCGCTGTCACTGATTGTAGGGCTCGTATGTGGTTGAGTTGGATCTCTGAAACTGTGGAGCTGCATTCGCAAAAGACGGTTATGCACGCACGAGGTGATCGAGTCTAAACACGTGGCTCTAACTTCCTTCAATAAATTGAATCGCCTGTACATGTACAGTGTCATGTTAATGCTAATCTGAATTGGTATATGGAGTTGCAGAACTGTCTGGAACAGCACTGCCAAGTCCTCCAAACCTCTCATTAAATTGTTTCCAAGAAGGCTAAGATGTCTAGTCCTCATGTCTTGGATATCCTGAAACAAACTTTGATGTCCTTGCAGCTCCTCTTTTGTTTCGTAACATTCGTCGCAGGATTGGATACTCATGTTTCAGCGGATGGGTAAGTTTAACCATGGAGGAAGGAATGGTTTTGCAGTTTTAGAACACGTCAGTTGCTTTCTTAAATTGCTCTGTTACTATATTAAACTTGCTCACTAAATTAATGTGGACTGCTTAACAAAAATCTGCAGGTTGTATAACATTAACAGTACAGTTTCCTCTTTGCAGAACTTTATTTTAAAAAATGCTAGTTGAAGGACATTTAAATAATTGACTATATTTGTAGAGTTTCGGGTGTGACTCTTCCCGCTATAATACCACCGTTTTTAGGAAGGTTCTTGCATGAATTATTAAAGTTTATAGTTGTCAACGATTGACAAGCAAAGTGCAGAATTTGGGCGTAGACAGTTATTACTGCAAGCGGGTTGCAATAGTTCAACAGAAGTATGGGCATGTCTATCCGGTAGTGGTACACGCCGAGCATCAAATAGAAGTAGCTGAAACTTTCATTACATTGGGCTTATTGTGTGGAGCATGATGTAGTCTATTTTTACACTGAACTGCTGAACTTTCAAGCTATAATAGGGTCTTTAGTTCAGCCTTCAGTAAACCAGGCTGCTTATGTTCGTGAGCCTTAATTGGCAACGCAACAGCTGCGAAGTACATCGAAGGGCATAATATACACTCTGTCAGTTGTAAATCCTAGGCAACCGATGGAGCTAACAGTCATCCTTATTCAGACCATGGAGCTATGCCAGACCTAACCAAACCCGTCGCGCATGCGTGGGAAGTTAAAAGTTTGACGTAAGCAAGACGTACGGAGCCGTGATTGGTTCGTTAACCACTGCAAGTGCAACGCACGCACTTAATCTTGCATAGGATGTGTGTTGCTAGCATGGGCGTCGCCAGGATTTTTTCTAGAGGGGGGCAAAAAAAAATTTGGCCAAAAAATGCTGGTATTTCTCAACACATTCTCGATTTATCAGTTTTAGAGGGGGGCAGGGACATTTTGCCCCCCCCCCCCAACTCATTAAATTTACACCACTTTGTCTTCGCCCCTCTTATCTTTTTTTTTCTTTCTTTTTTTTCTTCCTTTTTTTTTTTTTTTTTTTTTGCTTTTCCAGGGGGGGCAAGTGCCCCCCCTTGCCCCCCCCTCGCGACGCCCATGGTTGCTAGATCAATGCCCGAAGCAACATGGCTGATTCAGGCTATTAGAGTTGAGTTACTAGTTCAGGAATTCAATTTGAGACCAAATTACAAATCCTTCCGATGTGGTTAAACAAGAACTAGGCCGCCCCGGTTGATAAAAAAACCAACTTCTTGCCTTCTGGATGTTTTGCACTACTTCTAACATTGACTAGAACCCTGACTCCCTAGGGAGCTACAGCAAGCGATAACCTATTTAGCTTTCTAAAACACAAGCCCGTCTGTGCCTGAAGTTATAATCCAATTCTTGAACACCAACAATGACGAGCGGCCGAAAAGAACAGGGTGTCACTGTCAAGAGTTTTAAAGTGCGAGAAAAAAATGGAGAACTAGTATATGCCCTTTTAAAACGGGTTACACTTACAAAGAATTAAATCCAATAAATGTACTCACTACTCAGTGCGTGCTATCTTTACTTTCACTGTAAATAAATATTTGAATTTTGATATCAGACGTAACTTGTCCTGGTTTGCGGTCAGTGAGCGTGGTCTGGGCTATTGTTTTTTGTCAAGTCGCGTGTGTCTAGTCGTCTCCGCACCTTATTACTTGTCACCAATTAAGAACATGTTGGGTGGGTCGCCAACCCCGTGTGCTGGTCAAGTAGTAGGTCACTCCAATCAGTGGTCATCTCACAGTTCTACGCGCTTATCTCAGAGGGGGTTTAGAAGTGCCAATTTATTAGCAACCAAAAATACATGACCCTAATGTTTGTTTGACTAGCCTAATGAACAAGGTGTTAATAATAATGGCCTAATTGGTCGTTAAACTCCTGTGCTGACCTGTGTTCTGATTGATCAGACATGTTGTTTGTTGTTTCGAAGGTGATGGGGTTTCGTTCGAAGGTGATGGGGTTGTTCCTTGCTATATGGTTAAACCAAGTGGCAAAATGGCATTTTTCAATACACCAACAGATATGAACCAGATGTGGATGGACTAACATGATGTTTTCAGCTACCTCCGACAAAACAACAGCATGGTTTTTGTTACAGAAACAAGTTTTAATTGTAAACTTTCATGTATTTTTAGTGTATTAAATTTAAAAAGAAGTAGCGACCCTTAAAAAAAGGAAGATAATTTGAGTTTTAGTTTAGATTATTCTCCTCCCTTTCTTGGTAGTTTTTCCAGGTTACATCTGATCTAGCCTTCCATGTACAGTTATTGCTAGCGTCAGTGATTTCCGTTATTAACTTGTCACAGGTGCAGGATCAATTCATTATGTTTTGATACCGACCACAATTCCGGAAGTACCCGGGCTCGCAGACATTAGGCGGCCTCACAGTATTCGGAGTTAATGTTACCGAATGTTAGAGAGAATCTTATTTTATTGGGGATACTAAATACATGTACAGCAAAGAATGCTGTGACGTTTTTACTTTCAATAGATCGTCCAAACATGGAGCCAGGAACAGTCCGTGCTCTATGATCCAAATTGAAAAAGAAAATTGCATCCCGAGTGCCCCTTCCGCGCAAATCGGTCAATATTTCAATCATAATCATTGTTGCATTATGATCAAGTGTTGAACAATTATTATATCGATGTTGGGGGGGGGGGGATATGTATTATGACTTCACACATGAGTATAGCATAGGCAAGCGTCCCTTCCTGTCGGGGAAGCAGTTAAGGATATAGCGTGATTGATGAAAGGTCATCTGCTCAAATTAACAGTGGCTTGGGGAGCTAGCCAAGGAGGGGGGTGCGCGCCCCTATTTCTGTTCCTCATTTCAAGAGAAAGTGAGGAGGTTTTCTAACTTTCACATATGGCAAAATTTCTGTCACAAATTAATTATCCAGACGGATCTGTGTCCAAATAGTCTGAACTGAAGATCAGACATTCAGATGTGCAGAGCCACACGAACGAACGTCTGATATATCCTACCATGCAGATTTTTATGCGATCCCGCGCGCAAGCCAATCGGAGTCGATTTTAGAAACTGTGACGTCATTTCGATCAGAAATGTCGACTGATTGGCCAATTTGGCTGACTCTTGTAATACATGTGCAACTGCATAGTTACGGAAGACCCGATAACGAGCGCCCGCTGATTGGTTCAAGAATCTCTGCTTAATTAATCGCCAAATCTGTTGATCTTTGCGATAGACTAGATCCAACACCCGATCAATGTAATTTTAATTATTCGCTTCGACTTTTTCTGGCATGCAAAATGCCTCCAAAACGATATTAAAATCCACTTCCAGGTTAAAAAGAAAAGAAAGCCGGTTAAACAATGAGTATACACCAAAAATATAAACAATAACCACACCTTCAAGGAATTATAACTACAAAAATTGTCACTATTATCACTACAAAAATTATCACTATTAAAACGGTTTCAATAGTATACATTTAATATGAAAACAACATTAGGACGTATACGCATACAAGAAGATTAAATTCATGTGCGAAAAAAATTTCTCTAATTTTTCTCCAATTGATCAGATCTTTAACTTTTCTTGACGTGAAATTCCTCCTCAGGTTTGAGTGTCCGCCATCTAAGATGATCCTTTCATCATACGAGTGCCGTAAATGGGACGGGAGTATCGGCAGGTGCACAAAGTAGGTGGAACAGGTTTATTTTTAGTTGCCGTTTCTCTTCGATCAGTTCAAATGGCAGATTACCAATTGGAACATTCTTGCCAAAATGTCACAGGAACCTTTTCCGTTTTGAAGCAACACCCATGAGTTTGTTGTTTAGATACTTATGGAATGTTGATGTCAGTATCCATGTATTTTCCAGACATGACCTTTCCAACTTCCTGCTGACGTCACACCTCAAGTGAATGTCATTCCATGGTCATCCAGTCGAGTAGAACATTTTGGGTGCAAGGTTGAGCCAAAGTTTTATGAAATACTGCACCGAATCGACTAAGGTGTTGCCATTTTGCATGGGCAGGGCACAAATGCGATTCCTAATAATGTCTTCTCATGAAAACTCAATAGTTGTATTCGGTGATGAACCTACAGAACATGGGCGTCGCCAGGATTTTTTCTAGAGGGGGGCAAAACATATTTTTCCCAAAAAATTCCTGTATTTCTCAACAAATACTCGATTTATCAGTTTTAGAGGGGGACAGGGACATTTTGCCCCCACCCCACGCCTCCCCCCCCCCCACACACACACATTAAATTTACACCAATATGACTTCGCGCCTCTTTTTCGTTTGACCCCCCCCCCCCCCCTCGTGGCGCCCATGCTACAGATTAGTCCAAAACGCTGGGTTTGGGGGCCCAATCGTCCAATATGTCCGAACCCAACCAGTTTTTTATTAAACAATGAAAAATTAGTAAATTACATTATGCAAATAATAACGTGAATCAAGGGCGGATCCGGGGGGGGGGGCCAAAGGGGGCCATGCCCCCCCCCCCAAAACGAAACCAATTTTTTTTTTTTTAATGTGACATCGCAATAAAGGCAGGCAATGAGTACACCACCATCTTTTCCTCAAAAATCATTGGTTAAAGTGGTCAGAAGTTGCCTCAGATCGCACCACAGAGCATCTAGAATCCAAAACAATTTCGGGGCCCTTAAGCGGGCCCCGAACCCCACGCCGTAATTTTTTTGACCCACTTTTTTGGGGGACCAAAAATTTGTTTGGCCCCCCCCCCCAAAATTGTGTTCTGGATCCGCTCTTGACGTGAATTGGTGAAACTGGGGCGGGCAACCGGTTGTATGAGAAGACAAACATTCAAGAACCAATGGGATTTCAGTCCCATGTGGTATAAAGGAACGGACTCAAACAAATTTACTTCTTCCCCGAATTTCCGTTTCTTCCGTTTCTTCGGAATCTGCCATCAATCAATGTCTCTGGGTAATGCTTGCTAAAGCATGTGTTGTCTCGTAAAAATATTGATTCCAAATGTTCGAAAAAAGATTATGAAGATGTAGATGTAAAAGGTAGAATAAAGGTAAATATAGGGTTAAAACTCGTTAAAGACCAAGGCCCACAAAATCAAGATTTGTTACGTCAGCTAAAACTACTTAAGGTAACACAACAAAGATTATATTGTAACGTGTCTTGCTATGAGGATGTCTTACTGGATATAAATCAAGCTCTTTTAAGAGCTTGATTTACTAGGCTTATATGTTTGGTTTATTGGTTTCAATAATTTAAACATTATTGAAACCAATAAACCAAATATATAAGCCTATGAGGTATAATATTGAGAGTAAATGAAAATAATATAATAATTCGTCTTTCAGGAAGACATGTTGTGCTGGATACCAGTTTGCAGACGGCCGCTGTGTTTCTATTGGTAAGTAGGCATAAACACTGTAAACCAGTTAAACGACAGACATTTTAATGTCAATTACAATTAATTCATCTCTTGATATACATACATAACAAAACAATTGTTTGGCTTGTACATCTCTATTCTCTTTTGGGATTTAATAGAGCAAGATGTGTGTGCAGATGCTCCGTGCGAACAGCAATGCGAAGATGATTTTGGACGTGCCCACTGTACATGTTACCCTGGATACGAGATGAACAAGGAAAAATACCGCGTCAGGGAACATCCGTATTGTGAAGGTGAGAATGGAATACAGCATTATTTATCATTATCGTGATTATAGCGCAGGCATCATTTTTCAAAATGGCGATGGGCTTCAGGACTTGTTTTAGGGGTGATCATCTTTGGATGAAATGTTCTCCCAAAAGTCATTGTTTATAAGCCCAAACAATTTTTACAGAAAAAGAAAGATGATGAAATCAGCCTTAATTTGATGTGTGTCTCAAACACCTTCGAGAATTTTTCCTGAATTTCGGAAAAGTTCCGTGAAAAGGACATTCGCATATCCGTTATGAAATGAAGACAATTTTTTTTTCTCCTGACACTTGGCCTCCGTAAAATCAAATACACTATCGGACAATAGATGGCACTTTTTAGGGCGGCAGAATTGCCGACGGTCAAGCGAAATTACTCAAAGGCATGCACTCGTAAAAGGCCACTGGTAAAAAAGGTAACTTGTTTGAAAAAAAGGGGGGCACTTGTTCAAAAAAAGAGGCACTCTTCACAAATATTTGGGGGGAGGGGGTAAACGCTAGGCAAAAAAGGACAATGAATGAAAAAGGGCAGACTTTACCTCTGCCTGTACTGCCGTGGCGGCTTCACCGCTTTGCAGAGACCGACTCAATTAGGGGAAATAAAGAGAGAACGAAGAAAAGAGAACGGAGAAAAGTTCTGAAGTCACTCCCGTCCATTCCCTCGACAGATATCAACGAATGCAGCATCGGAAACGGCGGCTGTCTTCATCATTGCAACAACACAGCCGGGAGCTATTATTGTTCTTGTTTCCACGGTTACCGTTTAGATGCGGACGGTAAATCGTGTGTTTTGGAGGAAGGTACGAATAGCACGGGTGAGTGATGCAAGAACAAAGTAAGCATCAAACAAGCTTAAATATTAGGAGAACAGTCGACTGTCAATATACTCTCCTATAACAAGGTCATTTTCAGATAAATCGTGAAAAACTTTTAATCGAAATGGATTAAATTTTCCGGCGCTACGCGCCGTGAAAACTGAATTTCCACATATATGTTGTGTGCCCAGAGCAGAATTACCATTCGTGCATTTGAATAATAATTAATTAGCCATAATTCCAAAACCCTTTGACCTATAGTCATGAAATTTCTTGGGTATCATGAATAGTTGCTCTATGCATGTACCGAGTTTCATAATTTGTCGTCACTCGATGGCCGAGATCTTAGGGGGGGGGGGGTGGCGGAATCAGCCCCCCCCCCCCCCCCGGCTGAGAGATGGTCAAAATAGCCCGGCCCTTTTGAACATTGACTGGAATCATTTTTTACTTGAAATAATACAGTAGCATTTTGATTTCATTGAAATTGGAAATTCTGGTTCAGTAGTCGTTACGAGCGACTAAGTCTTGCATGGCTGACATATTATATCTCATAAGCCTCCTGGCTTCTTACACAAGAGGGACGCTTCCGCATTTGATCCTTTTAACTCAATATCCGGCTGACGATAAACTTGAATTTCCCTCCGACTTATAAACGGCCTCGTTTCAAATACCGTGTTACAACAGAGAATAAATCAAACGTTCATGTGATCTGTCTTCATGTATAGTACAGAAATTGAGGTCAACTATGAAATTGAAGTCATGTATGCAATTCCGATTGGACAAGAAGAGATTGTCAAAATGTGAATTACAGTGCATGGAAATGATGTATGATTGTGTCACTGACAGTTTGATCCTAAAATGTCATAAGTGGAGAGAAAAGTAGGCCTATTGAAGGCTTAAAGGATCCTTTGCTTTCATGCAATTTGTTCGTTTCCAATAATAACACCACTCAAATCTAAAGAAAAATGTTCAAACCTAATCTGCAGAAGTTTCAGCTCAGCATTTTGATAATAATTCGGCAGGTTACGTTTTGGAATAGAGGCAAATGATCCTTTAAAGGTCTTCTTCCTTTGAAGTTTTGCACTGAAGTTATGCAAGAGCAAACTGGTCGCAAATACGGTCCTCAGTTTTGTTGAAACTTGCTCACATTTTCAGCTCACAAGAGGGACATTGGACCTGGTAATTCGTATGAGGGCGGGCGATGTCAGACCAGCTGTTCTCAACTCCAGTCGTTTAAGGATGCCATATTAAAGGTGCAGTCCAAGGTAAGGCTCGGGGCCTTTAATGAGCACAAAGAGAAAGATAACCAGCATAATGGGTGGTAGTTGAAGGGAATTCGAAAGAATGGTACAACCTGACGCTACTTTAGCGGTTGTGTACAAAGTCTATGGAAAGTCAAGAACATTTTTTAAGTATTTCCTAACAAAATTGGAAATGTTTCTCAGTCCCAGATTCATGTCTTATCATTGTTGCAATGACTGACCTTCATTTAGATGATATATGAAGAAAAAAGCAGCGTCAGGTTGCAACATTCTCAGTTTCCGGGAATTCAAATTGAAAAAAAAAATACAGGTGCTCTCCATTATTTTGATTGACTTTGTTGATTTTTAATGAGAGAAGAGTAGTGCCCCATTTTGAGTAGGGGCTGATTTCAAATTCTTCACACAAACTTTTGTCTTCAATGCACAGATAATCATCCTAGAGAGCAGATTACCTCAACCACCCACTTTATCCACCAGTGACGTGCTCCTCCATTACAACGGCAACCAACAACCTCTCCAGCCGAGTCGAGGACCTAAAGGAGACAACGGGGAGCCTGGGGCAGGTCTGCCCGGCCCCAAGGGATTACCTGGCTTACCAGGTATGCCCGGGGCCAAGGGGGAGCCAGGACCCAGGGGTGCAGCTGGCACCCACGGCCCACCGGGTGTAACAGGAGCTCCCGGTCCGATTGGAGTACCAGGAGGCCAAGGATCTAAGGGCGATCTTGGTGATGTCGGCCCCAAGGGGGAAGCGGGTCCCCCTGGTCCAACAGGTCCGAGGGGGTACATGGGGCATACTGGCGTAACAGGTGCACTGGGACCTAAAGGGGAGAAGGGATCTTGCGTCTATGCTAGAGCCAGAGGTGGGTTAGTCTCCAGTTCGACAGCACCCAAGGGACAGAAGGGGGATACTGGGGAGCCTGGCCCCATGGGATTAATGGGGTCGAGGGGATTGACAGGGGAGAAGGGAAGTATTGGACCGATGGGACCCCCAGGACCACCGGCACAGCTGATGATCGGTGAGGCGAACTTGACGGTAGATGAGCTGAGTCAAATGCAGGGGCCTAAGGGAGCTACAGGACCTAGGGTGAGTTGATTGCTGCCACCATTCAGATTACTGATCTGTCATCGTTGTCATTGTCATCATCACGGTCCCCAATAACAATCATTGTCACCGTAATGCCACTATAATCCTCAAAAGTTGTCACTTGCCATTGCGCTATATATCATCGTCACAACAGAGGCGGATCCAGGTCGGGCTCAAAGGGGGGGGGGGTAACTCTCAGGAAGTAAAGGGGTTTAACAGCCATCTGGTATTGTTTTTCTTGTTATATTTCTCTCTTTTTAGCGGCCTAATTAAGAGCTTGGGGGAGGGTTTGCGGGATACCGGGAGGGAGTTAAACCCCTTATCCCTCCCCGAAGATTCACCATTGCATAACCATCATCGTCATCACCATCACCCCCAACATGCAGACCGTCGAATGCACCATTCAAAACCGTCACCATCATCACTTTCTTCAATATAACTTTTATCGAAATGTCATACTTGACTGATGTAATTGTTTTGGGAGAAGCCCCACTCGATCTTCTTTCTCTGGTCTCTGCTCCACGGCCTTACATTTCCTTTGTTTTCTCTTTATTCAGGGGTTGTCAGGCCTTCCGGGTGTCAAGGGCGAAAAGGTAAAATTCTCCATCCTTGATTGAAATCCAAAAATGCAGTCACATTATGATTTCTGTTTGTATGTTACTCTTTGTCAAAGTGTTCAGCAAATCATCTGTTTATCTGTTCGTTTATCGAGCGGTCGGGCCATCTGTCCGTCCGTCTTTCCTGATTGTTTCCTATAATACATTGAGTTTATATAAGAAACTTTCAAAACAATGTCGCTTATTTTACCGCAATCCTTTTTACTTATGCCCAGGGTGACTCCGGATCCAGTGAGCTTCTCCTCCTGATCATAGCGAAGATGAAGAAGGACATCATCAAACTTCAGAAACGAGTCTTCAGTGATGACCACGTGATAACCTCGACCAATAACAACGAGAGACGCAACGGCTCGAACGCGGCCGATGACGTCATCGGTACCGCTGACACAGACTTGACCTTTACGAGTAGTTCTTGGACGAGGGACGAGAATGAGGGCTCTGGAAATTAAATTTGAAGAAAATATTCGAAAAATTGATATAATGGGTGAAAAGCCTTCCACTTTGTGAATACTAGCAGATGTTTTTACCTCGTTCCGCAATGTTTTGAAATTGCAGGATGAACTGAATGTTTTCTTTCTCATGACAGGAGAAAACTAGTAATTATACAGGGCTTGTTGGGTTTATAGATTCATTAAATTAACAGTTTTTATTTGCCGGTGACCAGTTTTGAAGTACCGGCGGAATTCAGGTTAGTATAAGACAAAACTAATCTTTAATTGTGCTGCAAATGTAGTATTACGTGAGAAGGAGAAATTTTACTGAACCTATTTTTCGATTTTGACTTAATTGTTTCTTCTGTATATTTGATAGAGTAAAAGCAAGTTGAAACGAATTAAAATATTGCTGCAGAAAATATTGTGCAAACAAAAACAACGAGATCTATCCATCTATTGAAATCATTATCGTCTATTGAAGTAATTAGGTGTGTTGACCGTGGATTTTTTTTTTACAAATGTCTTTTTGGTAATATTAAGAGCACTCTTATAGAAGCTATCAAAATTATGAGATTCTTTTTTTTTTTAAATCAATGAAAATTACAAGTTTCAATCTCGTTACAATATTTTAATTTTAAATATTTTTTTGATGTGTCTTCGCAGCCGAAATTCCGAGTCCATGAAAAAAAAAGTAAGACGAGAGTTTGTCAACTTTTAAACTTGTATTATATCGTTTGAAATTGTGCTATTATTGTCATAATAAAACTAAAACTGTGTACCACGTAATGTTTGTTTCACGATGTTTTAAATTGTGTTTAGTATTTTTATATGACCTGAATAGGATATTTTTGGGGTTGTGTTATGTGCTAGAGCCCCGTTGCCGCAGTTCATACTCTGACCTATGTGCAGATTTCATCCAAGATGACACGTAGATAAGGTTCCAGTCGTTACTCCTTCTTACCTAAAAAGGTAACAACTACCACGCACTTTTTCACCGAAAAAAACCCAAAGACATAGCCCCACAAGCACTAAAGTATAGCCCCACCCCTCAAGCATGGGTTACGCGATTGGGGTGCACACCGGTAAATACAGTGTAGGCCTTATCCATCCCGTGCCGATCTCATTTAAAGGTAGAGTCCATCATTTGTAATTTGTGCATTTTGTTCGTTTGAAGCAACAAAAGAGTTCAAAATCTAATGAAGGATACTGAGCAACTAACCTGATGAAGTTTCAGCTAAGCTTCAGCTGTACATTCCGAGAAAAACAGCATTCTAAGATCTCAATTTCAAATCAAAAGTTGCTGAATCATGTTTTGAATTGTTTTGAATTGCAACTATACGCGACGTCGCGCACTGATCCGACGAATTATAACAACCGCGCGCGCGTGTGCGTCGTTCGAATACTTGTGCGCGCTGCGCTGAATAACAAAACGAACTACTAATTTAAATTTTCCTACGGTGCTTCTTAAGAATCACCGTTGGAAATGCCTTCTTTCGTTGATTACTTCAAAATGACAGCTTCCCAGAAAGAATAATTTCACAGGGAGTTTAGTCTCCTTACTATCTTTCAACCAAGTTAGTTTTTCAACAATAATTACGCCAGTTACTTTGCGGATGGCTGCAAATGATGGACTCTACCTTTAAGTTATATCCACGCAATTCTATTTAAAGAATTTTGAGAGCCATAAAATTGGGTAATTGAAGAGATATGACAATGAACCTCTGGCCCAGACTTGGGGCTGCCATTTCTGGCATTTTGGATGCAATTGGGCTCGAAAGTGGCGCTGATTTTGCCATGTAGGGTTCGGTTTTTTTTAAGTATGGGCATTTAGCACTGGTGTCTATGGGAATTTTAATGAACGGGTGCATCACTAGCGATATACGTCAATGTACATCACGAGAGGGCGCGATATGATCAATGGGAGATTTCCATGTCAACCTGAAATATGGCGGTTCCAAATCACAACCCACCTCGGGGTATGGAGGGCTACGACCTTGGCGCCCTGAGCGCCGAACAACAAGAAAAACTCAACCAATTTAAAGTAAGTCATTTTGTGCAATTGTTGTGTTATTTTCGTGGAAAACTGTGCTTCCTTAATGTTGTAAAATGGTTCGACTACATAAGCCCAAAAGTTGCCCACTTTCCGGACGTGTTTTTTACACGCCAACCTGCTGATTATGTCATGCTTGTGGCCTACATGTAGGCGACTTTAGTTTAGTCGTCCAAAATTTTGGGCGATCGTGTAGTGTAGGGCTCCTGTTTTGTTTTGATCAAATTAGAGTAAAAAATGTTTTTTACTGTTACAATCAAATGCAGACTTACTATGACACCCGTTTTGCAATTTTGTTGAACAGTTTCTTGAAGTAGAAATCACGATTTTCCTGCGCCTGTTTGTGCCTTGCGATTCAGCGCGCCGTGCGTGCTCACGGTACATCGCACCATGGAGCAAGGAAAACGGACCCTTTTCCTTGCTCCATGATCGCACAGTGACCGCCGTCTTTATTTTCAGGTCGCGTGTTGTCGCCGCGCTGTCATCATCATTTTACACCCAAATTTCCCTCAAAAAATCAAAACCCTGCCCTCTGTCTATGACATACCTGTTTATTGAGAATGTCGCCAACTAGTTTGGTAGGTCCAATAATTTTAAAGTGGATTTTGTTCCCTTATACTAGGAACAGGGCCCTACACTACTTTTGGTTTAACTGTTTAGTATTATATCACTACACTGCTAGTGCTGCTTGAGTGTTATACTAGCAGTAATAACCTTGGATTATTGCAGAATCCCCCACTACTCAAAGATCACCCCCTAAAATTCAGTGCATGGCTACGTCGCCATAGGCATAGCCTATGCAATCAAACTTCGAAGGAGCTCGAAAAAAGTCCAAAGTCCAAAGTAGGTCCCAGGGAGTGGATACAGAGTGCTGAGTCCAGGCATGCAACTGTTCCTCCGATCAGCTGATTTCCTCGTTTTTCCTCGTTTCACACTTCGGCCTAGGGCCTATGCCATTAAAAAATTTAACAACACTGTTGTAAAATTCGAGTTTCTTCAGTTTTTGTTCTTCCAAGTTGCATGCCTATGAGTCGGGGAGGGGCAACAGAGGGCACTATTTTCCCTTTTAAAAAAATCTTCAAGGGGATGAATCAGTACATAGCCTACAACGTAAAATGAATGGGGAAGATCAAAAAAAGGTCCAAGTCCAAAGTAAGTAAGTCCAGAGTGGGTGAGCAGTCAAACGTGACCCTGGATCTGCATAGCCGGTTAACGAGGTTGGACAGATGAATGGTGGGGTATTCTGCCACACTGACAGCAGACTGTGTATACTATTTCTTTTCCAAACAGTGGCGATAAGGTGTTTCACGGTAAATATGTGCCATCTGATTCACGGGGCAAAAAGAACACGCGTTGCTAGACGCGGGCGCATTTTGGAATGACGGCATGATGACTTGGAAGCGCCAAAGTTTTACACCGCCAACACAAGTTTTACAAGTTCCAACACCTTATTGTATTGTTACGAGCCCCTCTTTCCTTGTGGTCCTCTGTGTTTTTGCCGTGTTTTCATCACCCTCAGATAACTTTTGCCATGGCATTGTGTCTGCAGCAGATGAGCAGTGCAGCTCTGAAGCAGTCTTTTAATTCTAAATCATGATCTTACTACTAGTACTAGTTTTTGAAAGGTTGAACAGTGATTGTGACGTACACCCCCAGTACCTACATTGTAGCCTTATGTTAGGGCAAGGCTTATGGTATAAAAAAAACACACACACACACCACTGAACTAAAAATTCATAGAAAATCACACACTGTAGTATATTTTGTTATTTTTTTTTGGAGGGGGGGGGGAGGGGCACTGTTCATTCTTAAATGCAAAGCAGTCATTGGATCTATTTTACACTTTTTCCCTGCAGATACAAACTAGGTTAGGGAACGAGAAATTCCTTCGAGATCATCCAGAGGTTGACGTTCTACTGGCAGGCTTTCTCGGGTAAGAAACCAATGTTTTTAACTTTGGGACTATTTCACAGTAACTCAATGATCTGTCTCTTAAAGTTGCTTCTTGTGCAAAAAAATATCATCTCCAACTCACCAACATACCCTTGATTTAAGCATTTCATTGTTACTTGACTATTATAGCGACGTCCTGACACAGAGACCAGAGAACATTCGTGACTTTGCCGCCGACTATTTTACTAAGCCCCACCTGAAGGATAGTGTCCAGAGTCAGTTGAAGCAGAGAGAAAATGCTCTACGCGAAGCCAAGTTCAACAGGAAGCTTTGAGGCTTGGACAACACTCCAATAAAGGGGCGTTACTAGAGCCTGTTTTCATGGTTTTGAAGGATGCTGGTCAGGTTGGGTGATTGTAGGGGCATGTAGGGGCATCTCATAGTTGTAGTTTAAAACTTTTTGTGAAAAGTGAAGGTTTTATTTATAAATGTCTCTTATGGATGCATGTACACCCAAAAACAATCAACTTGGAATAGGTTATGTATTCTATGAGTACAAATACACTGAACAAGTACAGCTCAGTTGACATTGGTGGTGTAGGAGCATCAAAGAAAAGTCTCAGATTTCAATGTTAGGTTGGGTAAATGGGCTTTGATGCATAGAAATGGCCTGAGGACTCGTCATCTAGATCTCAGCTCAAAGAAAGACTTCACTTTTGAAATTCTCCCACAGGCCCCTATACTTTGTGTACATGTATAGTGTGAAACAGAGAAGATGCTCTGTGATAATAACATGAGATGCCCCTTCTTTCCCTCCTCAACCCCCTAGCCACGCCTCTAGTAATATTTCCTAATAATTTATGTATGGCACTTGTATCTGGTTGGTTAGTGTGATGTCACTTCAGTTTAAGCCACGCCCACTGCACATTAAGTAGCATTGGAACCATAGGAACCGGAAGTTAACGCAACTTGAGTGCTTATCCAATGGGAGCTTGTAGTCAGTGATACATGTGTGCATGTGAATGACGAAGTCACTAACGAATCAGATAAGGAATCCGATCAAACCAGAATTATAACTGTCTATCATGCTGAACAGTTCAAGTCCACGGAACTGTGATTAACATCCTGCTTTATGGCAATGTTATGCCCCAACTATAGAATCATCCCAATTATAGTTGGGTAGATCCCGGCTACAGTTGGGACAACCCCAACTACAGTTGGGACAACTAGCGCTGGCGGTACTGATTTTTTCTGTAGCCGATTTTTTTCCCCCTGCAATATCAGCGATATGGCGATAAATCATCAGCAAATTACAGCCCCCAACTACAGTTTGGGGCTGTCCCAACTACAGTTGGGACAGCCCAAACTACAATTGGGACAGCCCTAACTACAGTTGGGACAGCCCTAACTACAGTTGGGACAGCCCTAACTACAGTTGGGACAGCCCCCAACTACAGTTGGGACAACACCAACTACAGTTGGGACAACCCTAACTATAGTTGGGACAGCCCCAACTACAGTTGGGACAACCCCCAACTACAGTTGGGACAACCCTAACTATAGTTGGGACAACCCAACTACAGTTGGGACAGCCCCAACTTCAGTTTATTTAGTCCATTTCTTTACCCAGTTGAGACTGTCCCAACTATAGCTGGGGCGTATACTGCAAATCAGCTGGAACCAGTCTAAGCAATGTACATGTATACGGTATCCCATCGTTGAGACTGTCCCAACTATAGACTGTCCCAACTATAGCGTCGTTGAGACTGTCCCAACTATAGCTGTCCCAACTATAGCTGGGGCGTAACAGCAACAACGGGATACCGTATACATTGCTTAGACTGGTTCCAGCTGATTTGCAGTACATAAGTCGCTCCGTGAAATTGACTTCTGGATTTATTTCATTCTTTCTGAGCCTTATTTGGGTTATAACTGTGTGATGTATAGACTTTGTATCATGAGAATATCTCACAGGTGTACATATTTATTATCAGATTTTACCTTTTTTTCAAATGTTTGCTGTTTATTAGTGTTAGCTTTATGTGGAAGGAATATTATTTGTTCCATAAAGACTGTGGTTTTGGTGTGTTTAAGATTACAAGTGGTCTAATCTGGAAATTTAATGTTCCGAATAAACATGAGCTGTTGGAAGACAAAAACAAGATGCAGAGCGCAGGATTTAAGATTCAGGAAAATTAATGTAATATGCACCGGCATTTGAATATACAAATGTATTTTAGATGATATGCACTAAATATGGTTTGGAGTGTTTTGTACATTGTATTTCACATATTGATGATTTTTGCACAAATGATAATCTGAAACATTCTATTTGTTTATATTAACTGTGTTAAGAGTTTTACACAAATTCTAGTGATTTGATGCTGCCAAATGCTATATATTTCATTTACTTGCATGGGTTGCATGTTAATGTTAACAATAAGGCCAAAAAAATAATAGTTCTGTGTCCGGTTTCCCTACCTACCCTATTCTGATAGCCCCTACCCTATTTTTTTGTGGGCAAAATGAGAAAAAAAAACACCCAAAACCATCAATTTCTAAGTTTTACCCTTGACTACACGCAGACACCTCCATATGATTGTACACCCAAAAAAATGGCAAGAATGCCATGTAATCGGAAGCAGAACTATTATTTTTTGGGGGCCTAACCTGAAAATGCCATGAAGTCCTGATCGTTAAAAAATGACCTATTGCTAATTGGCCAGCTTGGTCAATTTGGTGCGCTTTCTGGGGGCATTTATTTTGATTGTTCACGATAACGGTTTTGGGCAAACCTGCATGAAACGAAAAAAATATATAAGCGAGCAAACAATCAAACAAACACCCCAACAAACACTATTCATTAATCGAAAGTTGTAAAAGTACTAAAGGCCAGACAGGGTTCGACTTTAACACGCAAATCATCTGGATAACCGTTCGAATTGAAGACACTCGTAATCCCAAGGGACCTATTTATTTCTAGACGCAAGCAATGCCGCGAATTTCATCCTTAACATTCTCAACATACCACCGCGACCTGCCGAGAGCTAGCTATGATTCCTTGCTAGTATAATGCAAGGAGTATTGAGTTCAGCGCTGCCATACAGACAGCCTTATTACCTGGGATATGTACACACAATTAACATCACTGGCCCAAGTTAACCCGTACATTAATATGCTCGCGGACAGTTCATTCACAGCAGGGTTCACCATGCACGATAGTGTCTGTGATTGTATAATAATAATGAGCTGTACATGTGTACTCTTAATGTGTGTGATTATATATACGTGCACATGTTCTCTTGTGACAGAATACTGCAGTTTGGCATATGGCTTTTAAGACAAGCAATACGACAACAGAGGCGGTCTATGAATTCAGAGGTGGGGGCGTAAAGGATAGAGAAAGCTACGCCCCCCCCCCCTTGATTCCATGGATCCGCCCACTCAGTGTACAAGCCAGGATATTTCAATTGATTTATCGTGTACAGTGATGCACGGATTTATGTGTTTATTCATATTAAATTTTTGAGAGGTATTGCACCGGTTGTATCTGTGATATTGAGGTTCTGTAAGTTTTTTTTAAGCTGTAGGCCTACATGTAAATGTGTCAGCGAAGACCAAATGTTTCTATTAAGGTTTCCGACCATCCAAAACGGATAAGCTGGATTATTAACGTTCAGTTATCAACAAAATGTTAATGCAATAATGAATCACTGCTGACTCTTAGTCTGGCGTGGGTTCAATTTCATGATCAAGGATACTTGGTTTTCTGGAACATATGGTCACGAAAACATATGGTCTTGGTGGCAATCAAAACGCTCTGTAAAATAATGCGTCTGAAAAAAAAATATTGAATTCCCGCCACGTGGAGCCGAGATTTGGTGATCCACGATGTTAATCCAAAAGATTAATGGTTCAGTACTACATCAGAGGTAACATGAACAATCAAGCCTGTAACGTTGGACACACAAAGCACCAAATTATTGTTCAGTTGATACAGAATTGTGCCCATTCTTTGGTGTGACGGGGTTACCCTATACAATAGCACTCCCCGGCTCACAGGTGACAATCAGTTAGTCAGTCAGTGAGATAGGCTCACAGAAGACGTAAGCTGGGCCAATAAATGGGCGTCTAGCAAAAACTAATATAATGTTTGTTTAATATTATTTATAGTCGCCTGCCGACGTGATGCTTTGGAATACCGACATTTTGTTCATTGTCTAATCATAAATATTTGGTTTGGTTTTGGTGTTCTTTGTAAGTACAATACATTTGACGATTGTTATAATGGAATTTATACTTGATTGTATATGAGGAGAATAAATTGTTTGATAAGAATAAAGAATAAAGATTGATGAAATGGATAAAATTACAACGAATTGTGTTGGATAATAATCTGTTATGCTCCTGTTTAATTTATTTTTCGTAAAAACTAACTGTAGCGAAAACAGGTCGAGTAGTAGTAAAGTCTGTCCTGAGCCGATATGGCGCATTATGCTGGCATTTATCACCGGTTTCTTTAGCAAGAAACGAGTTAAATTATTTCGATTCCCCTGGATGGAATGCTAGTCCATCGCAGGTGTTACGCCCGAGCTAATGCAGGTGTAGCGTGAAATTTGGACTCTATGGGTGCACTGAACCAATTCAAGCCCCATTGAAAACAGTGTAAAATTAACAAAGTTCAGGGCCAAATTACATGCAAGCCGACATCACTGAGGTTTCTCAAACAAAAATGAAATTGTCTTGTCCCTCGTCTTTTTATTTCTTTTGAATTTTGGGTAGATTAGCCAATTACATTTTTAAATGTTCACACCAAAACAAAATCACCTCCCGAAAAGTGAAAGTTCCCAAGCCTGCATGTAGCCATTTTACAAGTGGCATCCTTCCACTTTCTCAGGCAAAAAGGACCCATCAACCGTAATTTTATCAAGTCTGCCCTCAGCTGGAAGCCCCCAAAACCAGGGAGTTGATACTTGGCCATATTTACACAAGTCCACCGTTTTTAAAGCCAAACGGTCTCCGTTTTTGAAAGATATTGGGGGGGGGGGTACCTTTTATGCTAATGAGCTCGCGTAGAAATTCTCACTTGAATTAGTTCAAAGCACCCCTATGAAATCTGGAATAATTGGTTGTATTGCGCATGCCTAAGTGAAAAAAACGAGGTCAGTGGCAGGTCACGTGTAGAGTCCATATGGTAGCAGACCAGTAAATAAACTTCCATAGACCCCAATGGTAAATACTCACACTTCGGAAATTCGGGAAAAATACTCACAACTCTCCAAGGTGTTCGAGACACACATCAAATTAAAGCTTATTTCATCAACTTTCATTTTCTTTTTCAATTTTCGGGGGGTTAACTGATGACTTTTAGGAGAAATTTCCATCCGAAGATGATCACCCCTGAAAATAGTCCTGAAGCCCATCGCCATGTTGAAAAACGATGCCTACACTCCATTGTAAAATAGAACGCTTTAAGGGCCCCAATTTCATCCAAATTGAACGGAACTACAAGCTCACAGTCCTGTGCACGGCTTCCACCCATATTTTTTCACAAACCCTCAAGTTCATGGCCCACAGCATGCTCAAATACTGAAGATTTTGAGGGCATGCAAATCGTGATTTGGCCTGCGCAGGCAATTTCGGACCGATTTACTGGTCTGCAACCATATAAGGTAAAAGGGACCAAATTTCCTTAGGAGTCAAAATTGCATATGATATAGGTACCCATTTCTCTGGGTTGAGAGAGGTAAGTGAT